GACTGAATAGTATTCCATGGTGTACATAAACATTTTCTTTATCCACTCGGCTCCTCTTCTTCAGTCTACTCAATGTGAAGGTGACAAGGACAAAGATCTTTAAGATGATCTACTTCCACTTAATGATGAGTAAATATATTTACTTTTCCTTATGATTTTCTTAGTAACTTTTTTCTCTTACTTTATTGTAAGAATACAGTATATAACACATATGAAACATAAAATATGTGTTAGTTAACAATATATGCTATTAGTAAGCTTCCAGTCATCAGTGAGCTATTAGCAGCTACATTTTTTTGGCAGTCAAAAGTTATATGCAGATTTTCAACAGCATGGGGAAGGAGGGGGTGGTCCCTAATCCCTATATTGCTCAAGGGTCAATTGTAGTAATACCCACTTAAGAATCCATGGTATATATGGTAAGTGCAACAACTCTAGAAGAGAGTGCTAGGAGCTGGCAAAGGAAAGAGAAAACAGAATTTAAAGCAATCTGTAAAGGACATGCAGGGTTTGGATGAAGTGGAAGGGTGAGGGAAAACCAACATTTGCTGTGAGGGCATATTAACTGCTAGACATTGTCCTATGTCTTACCTCATTTAAGAGAATTTCATTTCATACATGGAAAAACTGAAGCTCAGACAGGTTAAATGATTTGCCTGAGGCCACAAAATTAGTTAAATGACAGAAGTGGGATTAGTAGATGTTTTCATTTTATCAGTGAAACTGAGCCTCAGGGAGGTTACATATTTTGTATGAAGTAACAAAACTGGGATTAATATATGGCCAAGTTTAAATGAGATCTGTAAATCTAATGCCTACACTAAAAAAAAAAAAAAAAAAAAAAAAAAAAAAAAAAAGAGTGGGAAGGTCTGTATTGCTTAGCAAAACAGACATAGGGAAACAAAAATAAACTTAAAAAATCAGATTAGAACACCAAAAACCAGTCCCCATTTTAACTTATGTGGCAGAGAACCATATATTAAAGACCACCAAGTGGCTTAAAAATCTCTTTTTAAAAAATGAATCTGTTTTCATTATTCAATAGTTTTTGTCTTAATTGATACATTTACTAAACAATTACTAGCTCCAATTAGCACTCAGTTACAATTCAATCATTAAATTGAACCTCAACTTAGCTGTCAACCTAGTCAAAACAGTTAAAGTGATTTTACAGTCATCCTCAGTTGCAGAAGTATAATATTTATGGCTGGAGTCATTTTATTTTTAACTAATTTTTTAAAAAAGATTGCTTTATAACAATGTGTTATAAGAGTCCTTTGTGGCCAATACTGCTTTTTTTTTTTGAGACAGAGTCTCGCTCTGTTGCCCAGACTGGAGTGCAGTGGTGCAATCTTGGATCTGAGGCTCCTGCCTCAGATTCCCGAGTAGTTGGGACTACAGGTACATGCCACCATGCCCGGCTAATTCTTTGTATTTTTAGTAAAGATGGAGTTTCGCCATGCTGGCCAGGCTGGTCTCCAACTCCTGACCTTGTGATCCGCCCACCTCAGCCTTCCAAAGTGCTGGGATTACAGCTATTTTAAGGACTTTTTAAAAAGTGAAGCTAAACATTTATTCATCCCTATTCTTCATCTATAATGACTTGTGCTCTATTTTTCTTTGAGGACCAAAGTAAAAATTCACCTTTGTGAGGGCCTTCCTATAATTAAAATTAATCATTTTTTCCTCCATAGCTTCTACAAAACATTGCTTGTACAACTCTATTTAGCACTTATTTCATTCCACCTTGTATGAAAGCTGTTTGTTTACAAACATTTCTACTTCTCTTTAGGAATAAGGACTATGCATTATTCACCGTTGTATTCTCCCTGCATTTATGGCAGTCCTTTGCACATTCAATACAAGCTTTTTGGCCCTGTGCATCTCTTTATCTGGCTGTTCATCTGTACCCTTTAAAACATCCTTTATAAAAAACCAGTAAGTGTAAAAAAAAAAAAAAAAAGCCATTGATGAATAATAGGTTTCTCAATAAGAAAAGCATACCAATTATGCATACATCTGAACAAACAAACATGAAGGAAATAGGCTATTTAATACATTTTGTTTTAAAAGTAGGTTTGATCAGCCATGTAAATTGAAAATTGGGAGCCACCAAGATAATTCATCAACAAATATGCACTATGTATACTAGACACTATATAGGTGATGGTGAACCAAAGAGATGTCGTCCTTGCTCTCACAGATCTCACAACCTACTACGGGGCCAAAAATATATGTATATGTGTGTGTTATACATATATACACACACATACACATATACACATACACACACATACACATATACACACACACACACATGCTGTAAGGAAAACAAATAGGTGGTAACAATTAGAGTGGGGGTAGAGGGCTCCTCAAATAGGGTGGACAGCTTGACACAAGACACTCAAGCTAAGACTCCAAAGATGGGAAGAGTCAGTTACGTAGAGAGAAGGGGACTAGCATTGTCAGCAGGTAGCTGAGGCCCTAAAGGGGAGGGACATGTGCTGCAATGCCAGCTTCAAGCAAATACAGTTACTAAAGCATATCTAACCTTCTATGTGAATGTAGTTACTAAAGCATATCCTCCAACTTTCTATTTTTCTTTTGCTGTTGTTTCTACTACCACTTCTCCTTTTCTGGTGATAATTATTTTAAATTTTCTGGCTAAATTAAATGATGGCATGAATTCTGGGGAAACTAAGACTACCTATTTCCAAATAATCCTAAATTCCTTCCAGTCCTTATGACTGATGAATTCATTTTGAAGTGACAACTACGTCCCAATTAGGAAAGAGTGTTTTTTATATACACTTAATTTTTTGATTTGGAGGCTTCCTGATTGCTAATCAGCATGTTGTGTGATTACCTCAACAAGTACTTATAGAACGTTATTCTGTCACTGGAAAAACGCTCCGCTACTTTCTGAAGTTTAGGTTGCTCCAGAGTCTAGGAAGAGTGAATGTACCTAAAGCTGTTCCTAATTACTGGACATTCTCAAATCTGCTAGAGCTACACATCCAATTATGAGAACACACTGGAAAAAGCCCTGGATTAGAAATGAGAGAATGTAGGTTTTAGTACCAGCTCAGCCACCTTGCTAATGCAAATCTGAGTAAATGGTTTACTTCTTTTAGGCCTTTTGTTTTGTTTTGTTTTTTGACAGAGCCTTATCTCTGTGATCCACGCTGGAGTGCAGAGGCACGCTATCGGGTCACTGCAGTCTCTAGCTCCCAGGTTCAAGCCATTTTCGTGCCTCAGCCTCCTCAGTAGCTAGGATTACAGGCAGGTGCCACCACACCCTCGAACTCCTGACCTCAAGTGATCCACTTGCCTCAGCCTCCCAAAGTGCTGGGATTACAGGTGTGAGCCACTGTGCCTAGCCTTACACCTTGTTTTCTTACTGGTAAAGTAGAAATATCTAGAAGTTGCATGCTACACAAATTCAACCATATATGCTTGGCAAAAATTTTTAAAGAAAAATATCAGCTTAAGAGTACTAATTGAGTACATGCCTTGGAATAAGCATGAGCTGGAAAGAACAAACCTGTTGTTACATCACTCATTTTTGTTCTCACATGCCACTCATTGTAAATCTTGCTCAGTGGCATGATTTTAGTGTTTAAAGATTTGTTTGTTTGTTTAGGACAAAGTCCCTACACATAATCTACTTGCTTCATACACATACATATGTATATTATGCATGTACATATATGCTATCAGGGCTCACATGAAAAAACAGCCATTCAGGTGATGTGATTTATCTCATACGCTTACTTTAGAGTCAATAGGGTGTTGGCTCCACTATACAATACTGGCATAGAGAACACATAAGTCAAAGTAGACAGGACCCAGCCGTACCACTGGCTAGGGCACAAATACAGTCACATATGTGGAGAATGATGTACGTAGAAAGGTCTTCATTGCACAATGCTCTTTAATAAAGATCTGGAAAAAAAAAACACCTAAATGTTCAAAAGGATAGGGTTGATGAAATAATGGTACATTATAAAATGGAAGATTATGCAGCCATAAAAATAAGGAAATACCTTAAATAATAACAGAACAACTTTTAAGGTTAAGTGAACAAATAAGGTACATAATCACCATGCATGGTATGTACCATTTACATAGAAAAAGGGAATAAAAATAAAATATATATAGTAATTTATTTGCTCTCACATGTGTACAATTTTTCTGAAAAATGTACCAGAAACTGGTAGCACTCGTTGCTTCCTAGGCAGAAAATGACTTCACTGAGTATCCTTTTGTACCTTTTGAATTTTGAACCATGTGAATAAATGTGTTTTCTATGAACAAAATGACAAGTTTAGATCAGCAAGACAGCAATTTGAGATGAAATGGGATCACACCCTTAGTAGCAAAAACTTTTTGAAGTAGGTGGTACTTCTAAGAGTAAATACCCACATATGGAATGTTGAAACTGTAAGGAACTTTCCTTAAGACAACCATCTATTCCAAACTTCTCATTTTATAGATCTGTAAACTGAGACCTTAAAAATTCAGTGACTTGCGTAAGGTCACACAGCAGAAGACATGGGATTAGATGTCAGATATTCCAGTATCAACTCTACACTATTATCATGCCATCTTCTCATTTTCTATGGGCAAAACAGAACCAAGTAAGTTTGGGCTACATTACGAGCTGTCATTGTTTTTTTTTTTTGAGACAGAGTCTCGCTGTGTCGCCCAGGCTTGAGTGCAGTGGTGTGATCTCAGCTCAATGCAATCTCTAACCTCCGGGGTTCAAGCAATTCTCCCTGCCTTAGCCTCCCGAGTAGCTGGGATTACAAGCGCCTCCCACCGTGCCCACTTAATTTTTGTATTTTTTTTTTTTTTTTTTTTTTTTTTAGCAGAGACAGGGTTTCACCACCTTGGCCAGGCTGGTCTTGAACTCCTGACCTCATGATCCACCCCCCTCAGCCTCCCAAGGTACTAGGATTACAGGTGTGAGCCACCACACCTGGCTGAGTTGTCATGTTTTATCTAAATTTTAGAGCCTAAAGTATAAACTAACCTTAAGCCCTTAAACTACTAATTTCTTATTTGGATCACTATACGGCTACACTTACGAATATGCTGTGCATACCTCTATCATTGCATGTATACAATATGATAGATGCACGATATGACAGACACACAATATGACACACGTACTTTTGCTATCCTAACATATATGAATTTACTGAAAGAACTAAAATGTCTTCATTTTTTAAATATACACACGCATAGCACAAGTGTGTTGCCAAAAATATGAATACAGGTTTACAATTCCTTAACTAAAACCCTAGGGTTGGATGTTTTAGAAATAAGAATTTCATACAATTTTTAAGTGTTACAAGGTATATAAACCAATATATAACATCCCACATACCAGCGGCCAAGGACAGCACCCCATAATCAAACATATTAATATAGTTTCAGCAAAACACATGGGATAAAGACTATATACAGCTTCTCAATAGTTCAGGTCATATTTTGCTACCAAGTGAATTTTGTTGCCAAGCTAAGAAGTTTTTGGTTTTCAGCGCTTTCTGAATGTTAGTCTGAGACGTGGGATTACAGACTGTACTCATAGAGTGCTTCTAGAAAGCAGAGCCAGTCACTTCGACTCTCATCTTTTTGATGAGACTAGAAAAATAAATCATAGCAAGTAGCTTTTATATTCCAGGTTTGGGCCAAAGACTTGTACTGTGGTTAAGTGGTTAAGGAATCTAACTTAGCAGAAGGCGCAAGAGCTGACATCGTGAGTGGCTAAAATGAGGGGGAGAAAAAAAAGAAAATCCTAATCATACAGCACTGAACTACTGCAGCTGTTCGTTAGTTATTAATTTAATAAAAGCTTCCTCCCTTTAAACCATGAGTTTATAACTATAAAATTTCTGTCCCACACTGCTCACAAGCGGATGGAGGCAATGAGCTTTAATCCCACTGGAAGGTACTGCACTCTGTCTAGGACCAGGATATGTAAAAAAAGCATTTCAAATATATAGGAATAAGCAGATACGTATACATTATTCTCAACTTGGACCGTTACTCTATAATATAAACGAAAGGGGTTTGTTTTCTAGTCAATCTCTGCTGATCTCCTGTATCAAAGTTCTTCTCTTTATCTTGTGAGTCTTGTACTACCTTTTACAAGGGGAAAAAGCTCTACAGCGAAAACACAGAACACACTAAAATCCTTTCCTTTCTCTTTACAACTGAAGCCCCACCTCCATTTTGTTTCTGTTACTAATTATTTTTCTGAAAAAATATCAAATTTACACTAAAAGACTAAAATTCAACTTTGCAGACAACAATGTTTTAAAAAATATAATTCAGTTTGGCGATGTTATTTTGCAGTCTTACAATTGCAGCTATATTTTAACTGAACCAATTGTTTTGTTCAATTTATGAGTTAATACTCAGCAAGTTTGTTTTTTACAAATAGTGTATTCCATTCTAAAAATGGAAGTAGCAGTGGAGAGCAAGAAAACAACCCTCTGAGTTTTGGCTATTTCAGGAGGAAGTACTACTTTGTCCAATTTTAATCACAATTCATAAAAAAGAAAAACCTAACTAGCTAGATCTTAGATATACAAATACATTAATAATCTAGTAAAGCAACAGAAAAAGGTAAACTAACCAGCCTATTTTTGTCTGGAGAAACCCCAACAAACTCTGCTGGATTCCTTGGCCATTTGCATTCAGAAGTACCAAAAACTAAAATCCTTTTTACTAAATAATTTATTCTACACGAGAGTTGTTTCCTCCACACCACCCTACCCAAATTATCAGCATTATTCCAGAATATAACCATTTAGTTTGAGACGACTAAAAAATCCCACACTCCAAAATACCAATTGTGGTTAGTCTGTAAAGAAATGGTCTGAAACTACAAAATGTTATCCTAGGACACATAACCAATCGACCAAAAGGACTTCTGGAATATGCTGCCCCCAAGATTTAGAATGCACAGGCAGAAATAGCATACGCGGTCACGATGTCCCTTAAGCCACATGACCTTCCTACGAAAGCAGAGGCTTAAACTTATCAAATGAGAACTCCCCCTTTCTCTGAAGTTAAAACAAGGCAGGGCAGCTGGAATTAGTGCAGCAGGGACAGAACGGCTGCTGACTAGTCAGAACGGGTCGTGGAATGCAAAGTCCCTGTGCTTTCGCTGCTCCCCTTACCGTGAGAAGATCTGGGAGGGAGGAAAGGAGGAGAAACACCCCAGAATCCTGGTAGAAAAGCCCCTGGCCTCGAAGATGGGCTCTAGGGAGACAGGGAGGGGCAGCTCCGTGTGTGATGACCCTTTGTGAACATGCACTCTGTGGCAGCTTCGGCTCCACTGAGGCTTTGGGAGAGCGGACTACGGATGCCCAGCGCGACCCTGCTGTGAAGGCCGCGCCGGCGGAGAGGCTCCATGGCACCTCCGCCGGCTTCGGGAGCCCTTCCCTCTCCCACCTCCGCGGGTCACCCCAGGGCCCAGCGGCTCCCGATCACGCTCGCGCGGACCACGGAACAGCGACGCAGAAGCCGGTCTCTTTCCTCAGCGTAATCCCTCCGCAGCAGGCCGCGCACTAGTTTTAATCACGCCCCACCCCCTGGCCGCTGGCGCCACCTCCGCCACTCGGGCGCTTTCCAGCAGCTTCCAGAAACGTCGCCTCCCCAAACCCAGCCACTCACACATGGCGGGCTCAGCAACCACCGGCCCCGCCCCTCCTCGTCGCCGCAGTCGCAACTGCGTCTGCGGCCACAGGGCGGACAGCCACGCCTCTGCGGAGCGCGACCGGAAGTGCTCACGTCTTCACCTTCCCCGCCACGCCTCCGTTCTTTCAGGCCCTGCGTGCAGCAGGAAGGAGGACTCTTTTGCCGCGGACTGAAGCCGGAAGCCGCCTTCCTAGTGAAAACGCGAGTGGGGGAGGAGCAGTCCGAGGGGAACGTGGGTTGAACGTTGCAACTAGGGTGGAAATCAAGCTGGAACGGGAGTTCCGATCGACCCGGTACCAAGAAGGAGAGTGCCCGCGGCAGGTAACGGAGAAGAGGGAGGGGTTTCTTTCCGCTCTCGAAATTGGGAAAAGAAACAGAGCTGGGATGACCTATGGGGTAGTCGGCGCGCTGAAAGGATGGGCTAGGCTGGGACGGGGTTCAAGTGGGAAAGACTGATGATTAAGGTATAGGGTTGGACTTACAGATCCGTTTGGGCTCAGAGAGGTGAACGCTGAAGAGAAACCAGAGTTTGTTTTCGTTTTCCAAGGAGCGTGGAGTTGGGCAGGGTTAACGGACCCTGTGCCTCTTGGGGCTTCTTAGGTTGGGTGTTGAAACTTACCTCCTTTGGTCCTGTTCGTCTCTGATTCAAAATAGTTGGGTTTGGTACCAGACAGGGCCAGGTGCAGAAAGCCGACCCTGTTCTTCGGCTTCCAGGTGGGTTGTGGCCTCGCTCTTGACAGTTCACGTGCCGAGCCTACTCGCTCTCGGAAGGCAAGCTCAAATGGGTGGGTATAAGGCCCCCTCTTCGAACAGCTGTTTCCCTGGGTTTCTCCATTTTGCACACAGGAGTGTGAATTAAGTTTAATTGCATACTTGTTGCGATTCCCAGGGCCAGCTTGACACGTTCATTGTGCTATATAACTGGGTTCATGCTTGGCTAATAATTCACATTAAGGCTTCTGGAGTATAAGTGGCCCACAGAAGTATGAAAAGGGGATATTAGAAGAAAGATGCTGGGGGTGAAGTAGAGCTGAGGAAGATAGAACGGGAAAGCTGGGTTGTTTTCACAGTACAGTGAGCTTTAGGTCGTAGTACTACCGTTAGGTTATATTGGGCTGTTTTGACGGACTTTGCTGTAATCAGGCTGGAGTGAATAGAGAATTTTAAGCTAAGCATTGGCAGGCTTAGACTTATAGGGGCGTCATTTTGACAGTGATATGGAAGGGAAAGAGGTAGAGATTTGAGACCTTTCCACAGAACTGTCCACAGAATTTGGTGACTTACTGTGCAAAGAGGGAAATAAGGAATAGGGAACAACTCAGACTTTCTAGCCTGTGTGTTTCGAAGGATGGAGATGCCCACATTTAAGTGAGATATGGGAAGGAGGAGCAGATTGTTTTTGAAGGGAGGAAGAGCAGCTACTTAGGGTCAAATTAAGTTGTAAAATCCACCCCAGGATTTTGTATTTAAGTCGAAGTGAATTGTATTTGGAAGAAGACCTGGGGAGCCCATCTCTGGTATTTTTTTATGGCCTCCATATGGACAAATAAACCTCTGGTAGTAAATGAATTTTCTTTTGGGGGATTCTATATATTCAGGATTTCAACCACCAACCTATCTTTTTCCCGCTGAAATGTTGGGTGACGGCATCAGGAGAGCAGATTTGGAGGCTTTTTATGTTTTATAATTGAGAGAGACAGAGAAAACTGTTTGATTTGAAAAAGTTTTCTAGGTTCCCTCAGGTAGTTGGAAATTTTCATCAAAAACAGTTTATTCAAGGTACATAGCCTACTAGTTTCCTGTTTGAGAGTACCGGAGAATGATACGACGTGTACTGCTTCTCTACGCAGAATGAAGTATAAAATTAGCACCAAATAGTAGCTTTAATTTGTCAGGTGCTAAACTTTTTACATCCTTTATCTCATTTAATTCTTAGAAGAAACTAATTTTACAAGTAAGTTTCGGGACCAAGATCCGCAGGTACAAAGCCTGCAAAGCAGGAACCATGGAAGTTTGACTCCTACATAGTTCCCTTTTGTAAGTAGATTGTAAATAGAACCAGCCAAAGGGTAATAAGTTGTCTGTGCCTAAAAAGAAAGAAAACAAAGTTAGCATCAGTACTTCTCACTAGAAGGGGTGATTTTGCCTACCGGGGGACATTTGGCAAGTGAGGAAACTTTTGACTGTTGGATCTAGAGGGTGAAGGTCAGTGACGCTGCCAAACATCATCAGTGCATAGGACAGCCTTCACAAACAATTGTTTGGTCAGAGTTATCTGTAGTGCTGCAGTTGAGAAACGCTGTCTTATGGTTATTTCTTCAGGAATAGAAAATTAAGATTCACTGATACTTTCTTTAAAAAGCAGTTTTATTTTTGAAGTTATTCCTTGGCTTGAAAGGTTTGTGACGTTTATATAGCTGAACCAGAATAGCATAATTAGCTTTTAAAGTGAATTATGAGCCATCGATTCCCAGGAGATGGGTGTCATAGAATCATGGCTTCCGATTTGGGAAAGACTTATGCCTAGAATTATTTTACAACATTTCTGCTAAGTGGTAATTCTCCTCTGCCCTAAAGGTCTCCTGCATTTGATTTTCCTATAATTGTGAACCCACAATTAAAATGCTCTTAATTATTTTTTGCTTACACTGAGCTCCGGTCTCTCGTAATTTTTACTCTATTAAATGTAGTTCTATGCCATGGGACTAAGCTCAAAACAAGCTTGCCACATATGTAATTTGTATTAGGACGGTGTTTATATTTTTGTTCTGATAACAAAAGAGGTTAAATGTGGTGTAAATTAGATCATTTACAAATAATAATTTGTTAGCAGCTTTTAATAAGTAGTATTGTAGTATTTTTCCCAACTGATGAAGTATTAATGTTCTTGGTAGTTGAAAACAATAGGAATATATGGAATAGATGGTTCATTGTTTCTTTTGTTCCTGTCAGATAGCGGCACAACGGATCTGGGGTTTTTCTCTGTGTAATGCTGGCATACTTGTTTCAAATTGTACATAGACTCTAAGAAGTTAGGTTTTCAAATTCTGGTCAATATAGTTTGCCTTAAATAGTAGCTACTTCTACTACAAGTTTTATTTAATTTGTTCACAAATGAGTCTGCTGTGAAAACTGGTCACTGCCCTCTGTTCACAAATTTGCTAGGTTTGTAAATGTAGGTATCATTTTCACTTCAAGATTATAATTGTAGAATATGTTTATTCCAGGACATATAGCCCTCAAAATCTGCTTAATATATACGTCTTGTAAAATAGCATGGTTCTTTTTATAGTAAATAGAATTTTTATTTAATTGTCTATTGACTTTTTTTTTCCAGGGTTCATTGAAAAAATCGTTAGTGATATTGACATGTCTCAAGTGACATAAATTAGCCAATGACTCGGAATGATGGATTCTCCGAAGATTGGAAATGGTTTGCCAGTGATTGGACCAGGGACTGATATAGGGATATCTTCACTCCACATGGTGGGGTATTTGGGAAAAGTTAGTGAACTTATTTTTTGCCTGAGTGCAAAGTTGTTTTTTTTTTCTGTATTTTTCAGACTTAAATTCAATTTCGATGTAAAAATTGTGTCTTCCACGGAAATCTTACAGTAATGGCGAAAGATTGTTTTAATGTGTTTACCTCTCTGTGTTTTATTGATACATGAAAGTGGAAATAAAACATAGACCTTATGATTTACTGTTCTTTGAAAATATGGTACATAAATTCTCCCTGGTAGTTGATGTTACTTTTTTTCTTACAAATAAAATTGATGCTATTCTTAACACTTAACATTTAATATTTAAAACCATAACATAATTCTTTTTGGAATAATAGCTGTATTTAAAGGCTTATATGCATTTCTTTTATTTGCCATGTTTAAAATATCTTGCCAGGATATTTGTAATAGAAAATTATAATTTTTTCTGGTTACCTTTCCATCTAACTTTTAATATTTTGATATATTGTAGGAATGTCTATATTTTAATTTGCTTTATTTCTCTTTTAGAATTATGATTCAGCTAAAGTTCCATCAGATGGGTATTGCCCTGCGTGTAGAGAGAAGGGAAAGTTAAAAGCCTTGAAGACTTACCGAATTAGTTTTCAAGAATCTATCTTTTTGTGTGAGGATCTGCAGGTAAAGTATTAATTTTGTATATATAAGATTTTTCTTTTTTCTTTTGCTTTTTTCTTGTTTTAAAAGTTTACTCATTTTTTGCTTTTTAGGCTGGATTTTTAATATGTAATCTCAGTTTCTAAGTCTGTCTGGTATACAATGTTATTTTTCCACCTACCTTTCCCTGATTGCATAAAGATCTTTGTTTTTATTGCCATTTGACTTGAGAGAGGAGAAAATACATTTCAAGTTCTTTTTTTTAACCTTTTGGAGGTCATTGTTAGCTATTAGCGTATAGTAGTTACTCTCTCATCTCTTTGGTTTATCTTTGCAACTGATGGGAAAAGTTGCGAATCTCTAATGTACCTGGAAGATTGTTTTGGAAATTGCTTAGTCTAAAACCAGTATATATACTCTGAACCAGATAGAGCATAGAATCTTGTAAAGTCTAAAAGACCCTTTTAGAAGCTCTAAATAGCTTTTAAAATTGTAGTAATTTGTACCCACTGGTATAGCTTTTATATAGCAGCTCATTAAATTCTATAATACTCCACATTTTATTGTATTTGACAGTTTATGAGACTGTCTCATACACATTTAATTCTGAAAACTTTGCAGGATTTGTATTCCTATTTCATGAATAAGAAAATAGATGGATTTCAGAGGGTTTAGGAACATAAGATCCTGATACAGTGGCAGAGCTGTGGTTGGAATACAGACTTCTAATTTTGGATCTGTTTATTCCAGCAAAAAATTAACAGTTCATCAGAATTACCTAGAGTGCTTTTAATAAATTTCTGAGTATCAACCCCAGATGCTGATTCAGTAGAATTGGCCCAGAATTCTGTGGTTTTGTAACATTTGAGGATGAGTCTGATCATCAGCCAGCCAGGTTTGGAAAATACTAGACTTAATCACGTGGTTGTTAATAGATACTTATGCTGGGTATAATTTGAAGTAAAGTAATCCCAGGCATGTCTACAAATATAAATTTCTTTATGCATATATTCAATGGTTTTTTTATGAGTGTCACTGTTTGGCATTGTTCCAGATACAATGTTAGGATACAATAATAGAACAAAAATTTCTTGCCCTTAAGGAGGTTATGTCGTAGAGTGGGAAAGACAATAAACAAGTATGTGTTTCTGTGTCATGTGATAAAAAGTGCTGTGGAGGAAAATAAGGCAGTAGAGACTGGAATGCCAAAGTAGGGGGAGTTTGCAATTTTAATTAGGTTGGTGAGGGCAATGCTTCAATAAGAAAGTGAAATTCGAGCAAAAGCCTGAAAGAGGTGAAGAGCAGCGAGCTTGGTAGGCAGGGGAAGCAAGTTCCAGGGAGGCCCTGGGAGAATGGAGGCTGCCTGTGATATTTGTGCTACTGCAATGAAACCAGCAGGGCGATAGAAGGTGGATCAGAAAAATAATGGGGGAGCTGGACCAAGTAGGGTTTTATAGGCCATTGTAAGCTTTCTGGCTTTTACTATGGGTGGAACCAGGAACCATAGCAGAGATGTTGGCAGAGGAGTGACATAAGTTGACTTGAGTATTAAAAGCATTACTGTGGCTGCACCGTTGAAAATATATGTAATGGGCAAGACCTAAAGCAGGGAGATTAGTTATAGTATAATATGAATTATATTTGGTCCTTTCTTCTGGTTTCTGTCACAGAGCTAAAACTCTTGGAATTTCCTGAGTGACAAGAGTGTCCTGTTATTCATAATGAGCCTGTTTGCTAACACTGGGGTTCATACTAATGTGGTGACTTAGGGTGGAGCTGTGGGTAGCCTCAGATGGGGCAAGTAGCTGGAAAGCGCACATGATTAGAGAGTTAATGAGTGAGAACTTTTAGCCCCACCCACAGGCCTCCAGGAAAGGAGTGGAGGGGCTGGAGATGAAGCTGTATAAAAATATGAAGATTTGGGTTTAACGAGTGTCTGGGTTGCTGGAGGGGCTGGTGCCATGTGGAGGCGGCATGCCCAGAGGAAGTGGAAGCTTCATACCTCTTCTGCCCCATACCTTGCTCTACTCATTTCTTCATCTGTATCCTTTAGAACATCCTTTAGGATAAACCAATAAACGTTAAGTGTCTGTTTGAGTTCTGTGAGCCATCCTTGCAAGCTAGTTATGCCCAAGAAGCGGGAGTGGGAACCTTTGTAGCCAGTCAGTCAGATATACTGGGGTTCTGGATGTGGGATTGGCATCTGAAGTGGAGGGAGTCGTGGAACTGAGCCCTCAACCTGTAGGATCTGACATGGTCTCTAGGTAGATAACATCAAAATGGAATTGGATTATAGGATACCCATTTGGTGTCCTCTGGAGAATTGCTGGGTGTTGGGAAAAAGCCCCCACACCTCTGGTCGCAAAAGTGTGCTGGAAGGACAGAATATATGAAAATTGTCAGAATCAAAATGGAGTCATTTGTGTTCAAAAAAAAAAAAAAAAAAAATTCCTGCCTGGTCAGGCAAGCGGCTGACAACTGTAATCCCAACACTTTGGGAGACTGAGGCAGGCAGGAGGATTGCTTGATCCTAGGAAATGGAGACCAGCCTATGCAACATAGTGTGGCCTTGTCTCTAAAAAAAATTTTTTTAAATTAGCTGGGCATGGTGGTGTGTGTCTGTAGTCCCAGCTACCTGGGAGGGGGACTACAGGTGCACAGCACCATGCCCAGGAGGTCCAGGCTGCAGTGAGCTGTGATTGTACCACTGCATTCCAGCCAGGATGACAGAGTGTGAGACCCTGTCTCTATTAAAAAAAAAAAAAAAAAAAAGACAAATAGAGCCAGGAAAGGCTATGAAGAGAGAGCTTTCATGCATAAATACCAGAATATCCCAAAAGACTGCAAAAACCACAGCCTTGCACAAAGACAGTCATCACTTACACAGAAGATACTTCTGCAAGAACATCTGCCCAACAACTGCCTGGTCCAGCCGTGGACTGGTGTCATCCTTGTTATTGATCCTTGTAGCCAAGGGTAATTATCTCAAAACAAGTATGTGATCCTCCTCAGTTTCCTTTAAAAACCTTTTGTCTTCCCTTACCTCCCTGAACACAGTTTACTGTGGCATGTGTATTCCCATTGGAATACTTTATTCCTGAATAAATGTCACTTTCTTTTTAAAAGCTTCTCTCTCTCTCTTTTTATTTAGATTGATAAGTAGAAAGGAAAAAAAGCTTTTTTCCCTTTGGACTAGTCAAAGGCAGTTGCAGTATTCTGGGGTAGAGGGTGGTGGCAGAGGTGTTGAGGCATGGTTGGAGTTTATACTTTGAAGGTAAAGCCAACAGGATTTGCTGAAAGATTGGAATATGGGGTTGGAAAGAGGAATCAAGGATGGTTCCAAGATTTTTGGCTTGAAAAATTAGAAGAATGGAATCGCTAATTACTGAACTGGGAAGACTTGGAAGAGCAAGGTTTTGGGGGGAAGATCAGGACCATAAGAATAGAGAAGTCCTAGTCCTCAGGAGATAGGTTTTTGGCTATTAAAGTTAGATGCACTACATGGATTTTTAGTTTTGCTTGTTTTTTTGTTTTGTTTTGTTTTGTTTGAGAGACACAGTCTTGCTCTGTCACCAGGCTGGAGTGCAGTGGCACGATCTCGGCTCACCACAACCTCCGACTCCATGGTTCAAGGGATTCTTCTGCCTCAGCCTCCTGAGTAGCTGAGATTACAGGCATGCGCGACCATGCCCAGCTAATTTTTGTATTTTTAGTAGAGATGGGGTTTCACTATGGCCAGGGTGATCTTGATCTCCTGACCTCAGGTGATCCACCCGCCTTGGCCTCCCAAAATGCTGGGGTTACAGGCGTGAACCACCACGCCTGGCCCGGACTTTTGGTTTTTGAAGCATTCTTTTTTAAGTGACAAGGCAAAAAACATATAATCAAGAATTTTAAGTATATACTTTGGAAATGTTAAAAGGAATGTGAGTAATTTATTATTGTTTTTTAAATTTCTAGTCAGCAATAAGAGCCCAATGTACTTTATGAAGTAGATTGGTTTACACCAGGGGTGAGCAAACATTTTGTATGATGCACAAGCAAGGAATGATTTTTATGTTTTTTAAATGGTTAGGAAAGTATCATAAGAAAAAATGCCAGAAAAAATCAAAAGAAAGGCCAGGTGCGGTGGCTCACACCTGTAATCCCAGCACTTTGGGAGGCTGAGGCGGGTGGATTCTCTTGAGGTCGGGAGTTTGAGACCAGCCTGGCCAACATGGTGAAACCCGTCTCTACTAAAAATACAAAGTAGCCGGGTGTGGTGGCATGTGCCTGTGATCCCTGCTACTTGGGAGGCTGAGGCAGGAGAATCACTTGAAGCCGGGGCAGAGGTTGCAGTGAGTCAAGGTTTGAGCCACTGCACTCCAGCCTGGGTGACAGAGGAGACTCTGTCTCAAACAACAACAACAACAACAAAACAAAAAAAAACAAAGAAGAATACCCTTTCATAATAAGTGAAAATTAAATGAAATTCAGATTTCAGTGTTCATAAATAAAGTTTTACCGGAACATAGCCATGCTCCATCATTTATGTATTGTTCATGGCTTCTTTTGCATACAACAACAGAGTTGGGTCGTTGTCACAGACTACGTGGCTCATAAAATCTAAATATTTATCATCTAGCCGTTTATCCGTAAACTTTGCTGATCCCTGTGTAAGTCCTCTGAATCAAATTATTTCAAAAGAGTTCTGTTATAAAATTTGGAGTTTACTGTGCTATAAATTGCAAAGAACCATTTGGAAAACCCCTTTTAATCAGGTATTTACATTAAAATGTTCCTTGATTTGTACACTGATATTCAAGACTGGTCCAAAATTATACCAAATTGAAACTCTCAAGTGTTTTTAAACAGTAGGAAGTTTTAACATTTTTTTTTTTTTGTGGAGTAGTCTATCATTCAGCGTTTACTTTGGAACATTTAATTAGTCTTTTTAAAAAACCGATGAAATTTATAATAAAGTTTTTAAATCATTAAGGTTAAGTAATCAAAGAAAAGATTTTTTTGTTTTCTCCATTTGTAAAATGAATACATTATTATTATAGTTTTCTTTGGCCATACCTTGTTGATAATTACTTATATAAGTATAAGAAGACATGATATGTTTTCCTTTTTCCTATTTCACAAGAATGAGTACAGAGTTTACTTAAGCTGCTCCAAAACTCAGTGAAAGAGACAGGATTAGGTTTTTTTCAGCATTGGATTTTAAATGATACTAGATGGTGGTGCTGGGCTAAAATACTAATGCTTTGTGTATATTTTTATGACTTTATTGAAGACAGCTTAAAAGCTTTATTCTGGTTATAAAAATGATACATGTTCACTGTAAATAGAAACAAGTCAGGCATAAAGAAATACAAATCTTTAGAACATGTGAAAAGAGGCAACAAACTTTTATAAAAGAAAAAATAAAGATACAAATCTGAAATTGTTAATTTATAAGGGAAACATCGGGGCAAGGACAAATTATATTCCAGATTGGCCTATGGTGGGAGCACAGATTATGTAAAGAAAAGTCAGTGAAGACACTGTGGATGAAAATCACTAAGTTTTGCAGTTCTGGGGCCTCTTATGGTTTATTACTGTTTTTTTCTTACTTTTTTTTGTTTTGAATAAAGTAGAGGTGTAAGTAGGATGCATATACCATGATCTTGACTGCTTGAGATTCACAAAGGGTTTTCATCTCAGGAATTTTTTTTCTGTTAAAAAAATTTGTTTTGATTTTTAAATTGTAAAAAAATTTATCATCTGAACCATTTTTAAGTATAGAGTTCAGGAGTATTAGGTATATCACTTGTGCAGCAGATCTCGAACTTTTTTTCATCTTGCAAAACTGAAACTCTGTACCCTTTAAATTATACTTAAATAACTACTTCCCGTTTAAATTAAATAACTACTTCCCGTTTTCCTCTCCCCCAGCTTCTGGCAACCATTCTAGTTTCTGTTTCTTTTTTTTCTTTTGAGACGGAGTCTCGAATCTTGCTGTGTTGCCCAGGCTGGAGTGCAGTGGCGTGATCTCCGCTCACTGCAACGTCTGCCTGCGGGTTCAAGCAGTTCTCCTCCCTCAGCCTCCCGAGTAACTGGGACTACAGGGGCATGCCACCTTGCCTAGCTAATTTTTTTTTTTTTTTTTGTATTTTTAGTAGAGACAGGGTTTCACCATGTTGGCCAGCTGGTCTTGAACTCCTGACCTCAGGTGTTCTTGCCTCAGCCTCCCAAAGTGCTGAGATTACAGGCTTGAGCCATTGCACCCAGCTTCTAGTTTCTGTTTCTATGAATCTGACTTAGTACTTCATATAAACAGAATCATACAATATTTGCCTTTTTTTTGTGACTGTCTTATTTTGCTTGGCATAATGTCCTCAAGATTCATCCATGTTGTAGCATGTGATAGGAGTTCCTTACTTTTTTTTTTAAGTCTTAATCTCCAGTGTATTTCTGTTTATTTATTATACTTTACGTTCTGGGATACATGTGCAGAACATGCAGGCTTGTTACATAGGTGTACATGTGCCATGGTGGTTTGCTGCACCCCTCAACCTGTCATCTACATTAGGTATTTCTCCTAATGCTATCCCTCCCCTACCCCCCTACCTCCCTACCCCAAGACAGGCCCGGTGTGTGATGTTCCCCTCTCTGTATCCACGTGTTCTCATTGTTCAGCTCCCACTTATGAGTGAGAACATGCAGTGTTTGGTTTTCTGTTCCTGTGTTAGTTTGCTGAGAATGATGGTTTCCACCTTCATCCATGTCCCTGCAAAGGACATGGGGAATTCCTTACTTTTAAGGTTGAATAATATTCCACCGTATGTGTACGCCACATTTTCTTTATCCATTCACTTATCTGTAGATGATTGAGTTGTTTTCACTTTTTGGGTATTGGGAGTAATGCTGCAATGAATGTGGGTGTGCAGGTATCTCTTCGAGATTCTGCTTTAGAGGTTTTTTTGTATATGTAACTTTTTATGATGTTTTGAATACACATATGCTATTTTTAAAGGATTCTCAGTTTTCTGACATATGGTAGGACTTAGGAAGTAATCTCAAAGCATAATGTTGACAGGTTGTTATTGATGGTGACTGCAGCTAGTTGGAAGGTCAGAAGAATCTAGAACTTGTCCATTTAGACTAAAGAATTTCATAGTAAGTGCAGTATTATGAGGGTAATGTTCAATTGGTAGAAGAGGCTATCTGAGGGGATTTAGTGCATTTCAGTTACCTGTTGGTGTGAAACGAATCACCCTGCAACTTAGTCGCTCAAACATTTTAATGGTGGCTGGGCGTGGTAGCTCATATCTGGAACTCCAGCACTTTGGGAAGCCGAGGCAGGCAGATTGCTAGAACCTAGGAGTTTGAGAGCAGCCTGGGCCATGTGGTGAAACCTTGTCTCTACAGGAAATACCTTGGCAGGCGCCTGTAGTACCAGCTACTTGGGAGGCTGAGGTTGTAGGTTCTCTTGAGCCCAGGAGCCAGAGGTTGCAGTGAGCTGGGATCATGCCACTATACTCCAGCCTGGATGACAGAGCCAGACCCTGTCTCAAAGAAAATTTTAGTGGCTTCATTTATTATTTCACATGATTATGTGCGTTGACTAAGGAATTCTTACCCATCATACCATGTCAGCTGGGACAGCTGAAATGTCCATATGGCTGGCAGTTGGCACTAGCTGATGGCTGGCAGTTGAGCTCAAGTAGTCAGCCAGGGGTCTCAGTTATTTTCCATGAGGTTCTCTCCATGAGGCCAACTGGGCTCCTCACAGTGTGATAACTGGGGCTAAGAAGGAGTGTTCCAGAAGAAGGGCTTGTCCTCTTGAGCCAGTGCTTATCAGGCCTCTGTGTATCATGTGTGCTAATGTTCCATCACAGCTAGTCACATGGCCAAGCCAAGTCTGTACAGTGCAGGGACTGGCTGCAGGAGGGCATGAATTACCAGGAGGTGTAGTTCTCTAGCTCTTAGGAGGGCCATCAAGATAGTAGTCTACCATACTTGTGTAAAATAAGGCATTAATTTATTATTATTATTATTACTATTTTAGAGACAGGGTCTTGCTGTATTGCCCAGGCTGGAACAATAGAGTGGGGCAATCATAGCTCATTGCAGCCTCCAACTCCTGGGCTTAAGCAATCCTCCCACCTCAGCCTCCCAAGTAGCTGGGAATACAGGAGTGTACTGCCATGCCCACCTGAAAAATAAGACATATTTTAAAAGCAGATCTTTTATTGAAAATATTCTGGTAGTTTTTAAACTTAGGAAAGATCCATTGATTCTTTTAGTGATATGTTTACATTGTTGTTATTTGACTGAAATTGTATTAATGCAGTAAGATTGGATGAAGTCATTAACATTCAGCCAGTGGAACTCTAAACCCAATAAAGATGTAAAACAGCAGTGCTCTGAGATGCATATTCAGTTTCAAAATATAGGAAACATAGAAATTACTCCATGCTCTTTTAATTTGAAAATAAAACGTGTAGTGTAATATAGTGTCTGTCCCAAAAGAGTAGCATTCATTGTAGAGTGTTTCTTTACATTGTTGAAAATTTTAGCGGGGCGCAGTGGCTCAAGCCTGTAATCCCAGCACTTTGGGAGGACGAGACGGGCGGATCACGAGGTCAGGAGATCGAGACCATCCTGGCTAACACGATGAAACCCCGTCTCTACTAAAAAATACAAAAAACTAGCTGGGCGAGGTGGCAGGCGCCTGTAGTCCCAGCTACTCGGGAGGCTGAGGCAGGAGAATGGCATGAACCCGGGAGGCAGAGCTTTGCAGTGAGTCGAGATCCGGCTACTGTACTCCAATCTGGGTGACAGAGCGAGACTCTGTCTCAAAAAAAAAAAGAAAAATTTTAAATTAACATTAGATTTTTATTAAAGGAAAAATATATTTTCCTTATTAGCTTACTCTTGCATAACTCAGATTAAACCCTTGATTGTTTGAATTAACCTGAAAAAAATTATTCTTTTGGAGGCCAAATTTTTGATTAAGTAGTTTATCTCTAATTTTTTCAAATTTATGTGTATAAATATATCCTGTCATCAAATTAATGCTAAAATTCTATACATGTTTTTCATATGAAAACTATAAAACAAGTTATTTGAATTTTTGTAGTTTTTATCATTTTATTTTTATTTTCCAGTGCATCTATCCTTTGGGCTCTAAATCACTTAATAACCTAATATCTCCTGATTCGGAAGAATGTCACACTCAACATAAGCCTCAGAAAAGGAAGAGCTTGGAAAGCAGCTATAAAGATTCATTTCTTTTAGCAAATTCCAAAAAGACTAGAAATCATATTGTTATTGATGGTGAACAAATTTTGAACAGCAAACATAATGGAGAAGTATATGATGAAAGCTCATCAAACTTACCTGATAGTAGTAGTCAACAGAATCCAATTAGGACAGCTGATTCCTTGGAGCGGAATGAGATTTTGGAAGCTGATACTGTTGACATGGCTACTACAAAAGATCCTGCTACAGTTGATGTCTCTGGAACTGGCGGACCTTCCCCTCAAAATGAAGGATGTACATCTAAACCGGAAATGCCATTGGAGAGCAAATGTACATCATTTCCCCAGACTTTATGTGTCCAGTGGAAAAATGCTTATGCTCTCTGTTGGTTAGACTGCATCCTGTCAGCTTTGGTGCACTCGGAAGAGTTAAAGAACACCGTGACTGGACTGTGCTCAAAGGAGGAATCTATATTCTGGCGGTTGTTTACAAAATATAATCAAGCAAATACACTTCTGTATACCAATCAGTTGAGTGGCGTTAAAGGTTGGTACTAATATTTTTATTTATTTATTTATTTGGAGGCAGGGTCTTACTCTGGCACCCAGGCTGGGAGTGCAGTGGCGTGATCACGTCTCCTTGCAGCCTTGACTTCCCATGCTCAAATGAGCCTCTCACCTCAGCCTCCCAAGCAGCTGGAACTACATTTGTGCACCACCATACCCAGCTAAGATAGTGAGATGGGGGCCTCACTATCTTGCCCAGGCTGGACTCGATTTCCTGGGCTCAAGCACCCTTCCTACCTTGGCCTCCCAAAGTACTGGGATTACAGGCATGAGCCACCATTCCAGCCTATTTGTCTTTAATTCTTAAAAACATTAATGTTGAGTTTTGTCACCTAGCATGTGGGAAAGATGTCATCCATTGCTTCTGTTTTCTGGAGGCCTGGGAGCAAGGAGCCCAGGAACAGTATCACGAAGCTTGAGATAATACCAGTGACATTATCCTGACAGCCCCAAAGTCAGTCCTTTTTTTTTTTTTTTAAGTTCTGGGGTACATGTGCAGAACGTGCAGTTTTGTCACATAGGTATGCATGTGCCATGGTGGTTTGTTGCACCCATCAACCCGTCACCTACATTAGGTGTTTCTCCTAATGCTATCTTTCCCCAACCCCTCCACTCCCCAGCAGGCCCCAGTGTGTGATGTTCCCCTCCCTGTGTCCATGTGTTCTCATTGTTCAGCTCCCAATTATGAGTAAGAATATGTGGTGTTTGGTTTTCTGTTCTTGTGTTAGTTTGGGTTGGTTCCAAGTGTTTGCTGTTGTGATTTTTTTTTTTTTTTTTTTTTTTTTTTGAGATGGAGTCTCACTGTTGCTTAGGCTGGAGTGCAATGGCATAATCTCAGCTCACTGCAACCTCCGCCTCCCAGGTTCAAGTGATTCTCCTGCCTCAACCTCCCGAGTAGCTGGGACTGTAGGCGCCCGCCACCAGGCCTGGCTAATTTTTGTATTTTTAGTAGAGACAGGGTTTCACCATGTTGGTCAGGCTGGTCTTGAACTCCTGACCTCATGATCTGCCTGCCTTGGCCTCCCAAAGTGCTAAGATTACAGGCATGAGCCACCACGCCCGGCCTAGGCAGTCTTTTTCAAAACTGTGAGACTGTGCTTGTATCTTACTTAGCCTGTCAGGATAATAGTGGTTAGTTTTAAGTGTACTGAAAAGCAGAATGAAGAAGTGAATAAAAATCATCCATAATCACACAACCTCCTAAGATCTCTTGTCACCTAAGGGATATGTTTTTCATTTTATTCTCTGTCAAATAGGATACTTATGAACCCACCTCCCAACGAATGAAGAATTAAGACATTCCAAATAATTTACATTTACCTGTGTGTTCCTCTCATCCCATTCTCTACCTCCCCCGATAAGTAATCATTATCTGAGTGTGTTTTATCATTCCATTTTTTCTCAGTTTTTCTTACATGTATATATCTAAACAGTATACAGTAGTCCCCTTATCACAGTTGTACTTTTCTTGGTTTCATTTAACCCAAGATCTGAAAGTAGATGAGTATAGTACAGTAATATATTTTGAGAGAGAGAGACACCACATTCATGTAACTTTCATTACAGCGTATTGTTATAATTGTTCTATTTTATTATTAGTTGTTAATCTTACTATGCCTAATTATAAAACTTGATCATAGGTATGTAGTTATAGGAAAAAGCATAATGTGTAAAGGATTTAGTTACTATCTAAGGTTTTAGGCATCCAGTGGGGTCTTGGAAGGTATCCCTCTCAGATAATGGGGGACGGATAGTACTGAACCCTGTATATATAGTGTTTTTCCCTATACCTACATAATTATGATCAAGTTTAATTAAGAATAAATTAAATGTGGGCCAGGTGCAATGGCTCACACCTGTAATCCCAGCACTTTAGGAAGCTGAAGCGGGCAGATCTCCTGAGGTCGAGAGTTCAAGACCAGCCTGGCCAACATGGTGAAATGCCATCTCTACTAAAAAATACAAAAATTGACTGGGCGTGGTGGCACACACCCGTAGTCCCAGCTACTCTGGGAGGCTGAGGCGGGAGAATTGCTTGAACCCGGGAGGCAGAGGTTGAACAATCACTTGAACCTGGGATCACACCACTGCACTCCAGCCTGCCTGGGTGATAGAGTGAGACTCTGTCTCAATAAAAAAAAAAAAAAAAAAAAAGTAAAGTAAATGTAGCTCAACATGTTGCTGTCAATTGGAACACTTGTTTCTTATTGTGTCTTCCACCCACAAACTGAATGCTTTTTCCATCTTAACACTTATCAGGCACTGCGGCCATAAGTTTAGCAGTTGAGATGCAACAGCAAAATTAGCACCAATTTCTTTTTCCTTCTTCACAGTTTCAAGGATAAGAGATTTGTTCTTAGATCTCAGCAACCTCAGCATATGATTTTTTTCTTTAAGTTGAGAACTTTGACCTTTTCACTTAAAGAGGCATTTTACAGCTTCTCTTTGGCGTATCTGAATTGCCAGCGTCACTATGCTTGTGCTTTGGGGCCATTATTAAGTCAAATAAGGGTTCCTTGAACACGAGCACTGCAACACCATGGCAATAGATCACGTCACCAAGATGGCTACTAAGTGAACCGCAGGCAGGGAGTGTAGACAGCTTGGATACACTGGACGAAGGGAAGATTCACGTTGCCAATGGAAGACAGCAGGACAGCAAGAGAGTTCATGATGCTACTCAGAATGCCATGAAATTTAAAGCTTATAAATTGTTTCTGGAATTTTCCATTTAATATTTTCAGACCATGGTTGACTTCAGGTAACTGAAATCGTAGGAAGCAAAACCACGGACGAGGAGGGGCCACTTTGTATTGCCTAGTTTAGTTTGTTTTGAACTTTAAACAAGGGGGTTGTACAGTAGGTCTTCTGGGACCTTTTTTTCTTGTAAAAATTTATAGGGCTGCTTGTAGTTGTGGCTCATTGAGTTTTCATTGCTATATAATACTTCCATTTTGTAAATATAACAGTATATTCATCTCCCTGTCAGTGGACAGTTGGGTTTTTTTTTGCCATTGTAAATGCTGCTGCTGTGACCATTTGGGGGCAAGTCTTCTGAGGCACAGTGTAAGAGTTTCCCTTCTGTATACCAGAGGAATGGAAAATTACAGACTCTCGTGTCCAAATTTACAAGATAATGACAGTAGTTTTCCAAAGTGGTTGTACCAATCAGTTCTCCCATTAGCAGTGTATATAAGGGCTCTTCCTGATCTGTATATTCTCCTTGGTTTATTTTCACACTTCAGATTTTTGCTCTTTGAGTGATATAAAATGGTCTGTGATCTTGATTTGCCATTTCCACATTTTTGAAAAGGTTGTTGGCTCTATGTGTATATATTGCTCATATTTGTTCCCTCTTGTGTGAAATGCCTTTTGTATCTTATCCCTATTTGTTCTATGGATTGTCACGTTTTAATCGATTTGTATGAGTTTGTTCTTGTGTCATTGTTGCTAGAGTTACGTCAGATAGTTTTGCTGAATCTGCTCCCAATTTGCAGCTTGTGTTTTTACTTTTTCAAAGCTATTTTGATTTATAGGGAAGTCTTTATCTTTCCATTTGGAGCTAGTAATGTTTGTGGCTTTTTAAAGAAATTATTGCTCTTCCCAAGGTCAGAAAATCATTCACCTATATTTTCACTGAAAAGTTATAAAGTTTTGCTTTTGACATTGAAATTCCTCTTTCAGTTGGAATTCATATTGATGTGTGGTATGAGGTAAGGATCCTTTTTTTTCCATTTGCATAGCCAGTTTTTGTAGCTCTACTTTATTTTCTCACTTGGTCTGCCGTGCCACCTCTAGCATGTATCAACATTTCATGTATCTGTGCAGCTGTTCCTTAACTCTCAATTTTATCCTCTTGGTTACTTTGTCTAACCCAGCACTCATACTTTATTGTTATGACTACCTTGTAGGGCAAGAATCCTTACTTTTATTCAGCTTCTTTTGAAGTGTCTTGATACATATTTTTTCTGATCTTACTTGGCCATATATATTTTGGGGACAGATGTGACATCATACCAAGCTTTCTTTGCTTGACATTGTAGGTATTTTCTTATTCATTAATGTGCTAAAAATTTTGAGTTGGTCTTACAGTCTTTTATGTGGATCTTATACGTTTCCCTGTTATTAACCATTCAGGCTGTTACTGGTTTTTGCTGTTATGAATTAACAACAGGACGAATATCCATATATCTTTTGAATTCATTACTGACTAGTATCCTAGGAGAGATATTAAAATATGAATATTAAAGGTCTTGCTGAATACAGTTTTCCAGAATGGTTGTACTGATATATAATTCCATTTTCATTATGTAGAAAAAAATACCTCAGTGCTTTCTAACCACCTTTGGTTAGAACATTCAAGAGGTTATGGTTTTGTTAGGTAAGAAATACTTTGTTTCAATGTAGGTTTTCTTTGAACCTTTTTGTATGTGTCAGTCATTTACAGTTTTTTGCAATTTTTAAAATTCAGTTTCTCACAAGCATTTTTGCCTTGACTTTTCTTCTATTTCTGCTTTCTCTACAGGAACCCCAGTGTTAAGTAGGTGACAGTTCCATTGTTTGTTGCAGAAGAGCAACAGTTCAGTATTGGAATTAACTTTCATTTAATGTTTTTATCTGTTACTAATTTTTTACAGAATAATTTTAGTTTTTATAATCTGGTTGTTAATTATATGTTTGAGCTGCATTACTTTGCAATGTAAGTGTTTTTTGGTGTGGTCAAATAACAAAAATTCTGGTTAATGCTTTTTCATATTACAGGCGAATCCAGATATTTTCATTAGGGAAGTATATAAGCAGAGTGCGATCAGGCTGTATGAATTATTTATAAGAGATGTGAGTGAAAAGATCTATTTGTAGCTTAAGAGTAAGTAGAGTCAGATGCATGTGGAGTCTTTTATTCAAAATAATTTTCTTACTAATCTTGGATAGTTTCTTGTCACAGTGATTCCATTTTGAAGATAATAAATATTACCATAAAGAAGTGATCCAAAACATAGATATGTGCCCAAAGGTATTTATCACAATAGTATTTATAATAGTGAAAAAAGAAACAACGAAAATGTTTGGCAATAGGAGAATGATTAATAAAGCAATGTTTCGGCTGAGTGTAGTGGCATGTGCCTGTAAGCCCAGCTACTCCGGAGGTTGAGGCTGCAAGATTGCTTGAGCCCAGGAGTTCATGACCAGCCCAGGCAACATAGCAAGACCCTGTCTACAAACACACATACACACACACACACAAAAGTGCTATGTTTCAGTCACTGTATAATAACTAGCCAGTTTTGTTGTTGTTGTTGTTGTTGTTCTGTTTTTGTTTTTGTTTCTGTTTTGAGAGAGTGTCTCACTTGCCCAGGCTGGACCGCAGTAGTAAGATCACGGCTCACTGCACCCTGTAGAACCCTAACCCTCCTGGGCTCAAGCGATCCTCCTACCTCAGCCTCCTGAGTAGCTGGGACTACAGGTGTGTACCACCATACCCAGCTTTGTTTTTAAGAGATGGGGTGTCACTCTGTTGCCCAGGCTGGTCAGAGTTTTTAATGAAGCAAATTTGTGTAGACAAAGCAGGATGTGGAACCAAATAAACACTATGTTGCCACTGAAGACCCCTTCAGACCCCTCAAAAATGACATAGAAGGGAAATATACGAGGTATTAGTTTGGGAAATAATTGTAACTTTATTAAGACTCCTTATAAATTTATCTGTTCCTATGACCTGGCTAAGTTCAATAAAAGTTACGCAGAGTGGAATAAATGAATAAATCATTTGCAGTATAAGTAATTGCACATAAGGAGGTAACTTCTTTAGCTGTTTTAGATATAGACATAGTATCTGAAAGGTTATTTTGCTAGACCTGTGATTATATGGGTGAGAAAGGCTTTCCCCGAGATTTTACCCATTCAGTAAGTACTAATGATATTGTACTGATAACATACATTAAGGGAATATATGGTATACCACAGAGAAAGAATTAAGGAAATTTTGTGTTTTGCTTTTTGTCTCTGTTTGCAGAACTTACTGACTCAGCTTTCATTCTTGGGAACGTCTCAGTTTTCTGTGGCAAGATATACATCGATGAGGAATTGATAATGTTCTTTGTATTTTCTTAGATGGAGATTGTAAAAAACTTACCTCAGAAATATTTGCAGAGATAGAGACCTGTCTGAATGAAGTTAGAGATGAAATTTTTATTAGCCTTCAACCGCAGCTTAGATGCACATTAGGTAAGTAATTGGTATAACTTGCTTGTATTATACTCATCTACCATGTAGAAATACGTACATCATAAGGAAGTATAACACTGTTTGATTACCTTGGATGGTCATCTTCTTGGGAGAGAGAATCTGATGGTCTGACTTAGGAATCTACCACGGGTACGTTACTGTAGGGCAGAGCTGTTCTATATAAATATACAGGCTGGTGTTCCACCTCTTGAGAGTGGGTGCTGTTCTCAGAACCAGGAGAATTTTAGGGGGCATATCATTAGTTGCTTCTCTAGTACGTTTCCTAGCAGACAGATCTAGCATTTTTAACCTCAGTTGTGCATTAAAAAGCACCAAGGGAATTTAAAAGTAAATGCCAATGCTAGGGGCATTTGAATTAGAATCTCAGGGATAGGGCTCAGGAAATCAGTAATTTTTAGAAACCCCACATGATTGTTACATGTACACAGGGTTTAGAATCTCATCTAAACCAACCATAGTAATTCTATTTCCCTACCAGTGATTGCTTTAGGAATGGACATGTGGTACGGTTTTGGCCAGTGGATATTAAGAGAAATATGCTGATGGCATTTTGAGAAAGCTTCCTCGCCTTTAGAAAGGGCACAAGGATGGGACCTCTTTGTTCTCTGTGACTTGGTTTTTGGCCTGTGGGAGTGGTGTGCAGCAAGTGAGTTAGAGTGTCTGACCAAACCTTTCTAAATTTTTTTAGTATTACAAAAAGGAGCTGTGGGTTTTTTTGTTTGTTTTTGTTTTAAAAGGGCTTTTTGTTTTATTTTCCTTTTATCCTTGTATTAATTCTTCTATTAATGTTAGAGTAGCAGAGTACGATACTCCCTCTTAGTAATTACCCATATTATGTAAAATATCAGTGCCTTCTAGTTTTTCTCTCAATGAGTGACATTTAACTTATATTAAAAAATGATTTTTATATTTTATAATAAAATCAGTTGTTGCAACTGATTTGTCTAGCATGTACAAAAGACACCATGCTTCCAGATCATTATAAAATATGATATTTTATAACATATTGACAATATATTTATAACATATTTATATACTTATACAGCCGGGTACGGTGGCTCATGCCTGTAATCCCAGCACTTTGGGAGGCCGAGGCAGGTGGATCACAAGGTCAAGAGATCGAGACCATCCTGGCCAACATGGTGAAATCCGGTCTCTACTAAAAATACAAAAATTAGCTGGGTGTGGTGGCACATGCCTGTAGTCCCAGCTACTCAGGAGGCTGAGGCAGGAGAATCACTTGAACCTGGGAGACAGGTTTCAGTGAGCCGAGATCGCGTCACTGCACTCCAGCCTGGAGTCAGAGTGAGACTCTGTCTCAAAAAAAAAAAAAATAGATATAGATATAGATATTTTATAATATATCTGGAAGCATGGCGTCTTTTGTACATGCTGGACAGCTTTTGACGTATTTCTTTGACTCATGCTTCTGTCCCCTAATTTTCACTTTTTTCCTACATTTTATTAAAATTGATATGTAATTGTTGTATATCTGCTTTGTTTTTATGGATTTATACATATATATTTATTCTGGTCTTATAAAAATCTGATTTTTCATATGCCAGATTTCTGACATTTCCTTCTCTAGGCCTAAAGAACTGTTCTAATTTATGCATCAGATAGACTCTGAGATGGAATGAATATTCTTTTTTCTTTATATCAAAGTATAATTTACATATAGTGAGACCCTTTTTAAGCGTGTACAGCTCTGTAACTCTCACTACAGTCAAGATGTAGGACTCTGTCACTCTAAAACTTTTCACCAGGCTCCTTGTGGTTAACCAGGTTCATCACCCCCAGCCACTGATCTGTTGAGCGAATACTCATTTCGAAGGAGCCTTTTCCATAAGATCCTAGAGTTTAGATGGAGGGACTTTTGTGGTGCATTTAGCAGGTACCATTTCCCTTCTAGAGTCCCTACTTCAGTTCCCAGTTGAATTAAAGAATGGTTTCTCCCCCAGCCTGAATCACTACCCTTCTTATCCCAGATAATTATTTTTGGAACGAAGTTACATCTTTTGCTCCACCTCCGCCGTGGGCCTGGTTTTCTATGTAACAGAAGGAATTTTTAAATTATTATTTTGTGTAATCATAATAATTGGGCAAGCATACAGCTCTTTCAATGCAGGAGGATTCCTCTCTTGTTTTACTGCCCATTCAAGGATAGGTGCTATATTTTAGCTGAAGATCTTACTAATTAAATATAACTTATTTAACCATGTGTTTTGAGCTCTTTCATGATATTTTAATTCACGGAGAACTTTATGTATTTTAGACCTGAAGATTTTATATTGTGATTATGAAATGTAAATTGTTTGCTTTTTCAATTAATATTTACTTACAACAGAATGCGGATTTAAAGGCTGGTAATGAATTACAAAATTGTGCTATATGACGTACTGTTTATGCATATGGTGTTGCATATTTTCATTTCTGGGAGGATTTATTTGTATTTCTACTTACAAAAAAACTTTTTAAAACTTATTTTATGGCTGGGCCCGGTGGCTCACCACCTGTATTCCCAGCACTTTGGGAGGCGGAGGCAGGTGGATCACCTGAGGTCAGGAGTTCAAGATCAGCGTGACCAACATGGTGAAACCCTGTCTCTACTAAAAATACAAAAAATTAGCTAGGCGTGGTGTAGGAGCCTGTAATCCCAGCTACTTGGGGAGGCTGAGGCAGGAGAATTGCTTGAACCCAGGAGGCAGTGGTTGCGGTGAGCCGAGATTGCGCCACTGCACTCCAGCCTGGGCAACAAGTGCGAAACTCTGTCTCAAAAAATAATAAGTAAATAAAAAATACAAACTTTTTTTATGTGTTTGTTCAAAAGTAGCAGTGAGACTGTCCCACAAAGGTGACTAAAATAGCCTTTGTAACTACCGATATTTATAGAATATGCTTAGGGTTAGGGTATAACTTGCTTGTATTGTACTCATCTACCATGTAGAAATACGTACATCATAAGGAAGTATAACACTGTTTGATTACCTTGGATGGTCATCTTCTTGGGAGAGAGAATCTGATGGTCTGATTTAGGAATCTACCACTGGGTACGTTACTGTAGGGCAGAGCCATTCCCTAGAAATATGCAGGCTGGTGTCCCACCTCTTGAGAGTGGGTGCAGTTCTCAGAACCAGGAGAATATTTAGGGGGCAAGTTGTTAGTTGCTTCTTTAGTACTTTTCCCAGTAGACACATCTACCATTTTTAACCTCAACTGTGCATTGAAAAGCACCAAGGGAATTTAAAAGTAAATACCAATCATAGGGACATTTGAATTAGAATCTCAGGGATGGGGCTCAGGAAACCAGTAATTTTTAGAAACCCCACATGGTTGTTATTATTTAGGTAATAACACCTACTGTCTGCCCTGTGGTCCTGCCAAGGTGACTGTTCCAGGCAACTGTAGTTCCAGGCTAGGGGGAGAACTGGACCGTGGAAGTGAGGCTCTGTCCAGGTTAGGGAAGGCATAGAAGGACTCAGTCTCTTGGGCCAAATCAGTAAGGGAGCATCTGAGCTCCTCTGAGAATAGAAAGGAGAGAAACCAATTGGAAAAGAATGTAAGAGAAGCATGTAGATTCTGCTACTTAGCTTACTTTCCAGTCTCAAAGCTGAAAGCCAGCATTCACTGTTCAGTTATTTTCAGTGACAAGATTCAAATCTTCAATCGTAAAGTTGTTAAAGGAAAGGATTAGACTGAAAAGTTAGGAAGAGCGGTAGATGAAGGGTCCAAAGAGTTGAGGCTGGTCATTTAACCATTGTGTGGCCACGCCCTTTCCACAGGTGAAACAAGATAATCAGATTAGAAATGGCCAATTCTGATGTGTTTCTACAGTGTTTCACTGGTTACATTTTTTTAACATCTGTGGCAAACCATTTCCATAATTTTTTTTCTTTTTTTTTTTTAGAGATGGGTGTCACTGTCACTCAGGCTGGTATGCAGCGGCATGATCATAGCTCACTGCTGCCTCAAATTCCTGGGTTCAAATGAGCCTCCTACCTTAGCCTCCTGAGTAGCTTGGACTACAGGTGTGTGGCACCACTCTCAGCTAATTTATTTCATTTTATTTTTGGTAGAGACAGTGGCTCGCTATATTGGCCAAGCTGGTCTCGAACGTCATAGAAACTGGTTTTAGGTTCCAGAGGCTGGCAGCAATTCTCGGAGGTTACGTAAGCAGTCCTCCTGCCTTGGCCTCCCAGTGTGCTGGGATTACAAGGTGTGAGCCACCACACCTCATCAATTTTTGTTTTAATATACTCTAAGGCTATTATAGTTCCGAGATCTTTTTTTTTTTCCTGAGAAATCTAGAAAGATGGAAGACAGTATGGGTCTTTTTTGTGTTTTTTTTTGGTCTTAAGACATTTTCATAAATGTCTGCCAAGGAAAAGGAAAGAGATCAAAGTGTTAATTAAATATTTATGATGGACATTTTTAGAGAAATGCTTTATAAACTTCCCCTCTCCCAGCTCTGGGTGACTTATTCTGTCATACTGTATTAACACATATTCATGCTGTAAATATAGTAAGAAAAGACAGTAGTTCACAATTTTGGTTTAATTTTTGCCATTATTGATTATGAGCAGTAATTTTTCCTTTTCTTTTTGAAGGTGATATGGAAAGCCCTGTGTTTGCATTTCCCCTGCTCTTAAAACTAGAACCCCACATTGAGAAGCTCTTCCTATATTCTTTTTCTTGGGACTTTGAATGTTCGCAGTGTGGACACCAATATCAAAACAGGTTAGTTTCTTTTGTTTTTTAAAATGAGTCCTTCTAGTTTCTCCACCACTGAGGTTAAGAAAACAATTTGAGCACCAGACACTGCAGTTTGCTTGCTTCTTTAAACTGGAAGGGTCAAAACCTCATGGTTTGATAGACTGGTAGTAGGAGATTTCTTAAGGAGTTCTTCAGTGGGAAATAGGGACGATGAGAGGAATAGTACACCTCCCTTCTCCAGAGTCCTTGCTGAGTAAGAATACCTCTCAGAATGCCTTGAAACTATAGGCATTTTTGTTTATTCCTCTATTAGAGATGAGGGGTTTTGCTTGTTTACTTTAGGTTTCTAACATTATAGACACTGGTTTTAGACTCTTGGAGGCTAGCAGCAATTCTCAGAGGTAATGCAAGCTTCCTCATTTCTTCCCATAGTCCTGTGAAAGACCAACCACCTCCAGAAGCCTTACACATGAACTGTCTCAGCCATACTTTCTACTTTTCCTAATGCCTCTCAGCGGCGTATTAGAAAGGCCATGATTGATGCACCTGTTACCTTCAGGCTTTGCATAAGGTGTATATGAAACATAATGAATTTCATGTTTAGGCCCAGGTACCATCTCCAGGTTATCTCTTTATCTTGGAGACACTTCTGGTCCCATACATTTCAGATAAGAGATATTCAACCTGTACCTACCACGTAAGGAGAGGAATAGGTTTTAGAAGAGGAGTCAGGGAGGCAAGGTATTGAAGATGACCAAACTGGCTCAATTGGTTATATATTCAAATTATTACAATAGAAATAACTCTTTTCCACTGTTTTTTTTTTTTTTGAGATGGAGTCTCACTCCCGTTGTGCAGGCTGGAGTGCAGCAGTGCAATCTTGGCTCACTGCAGCCTCCACCTCCTGGGTTCAAGCAATTCTCCTTCCTCAGCTTCCTGAGTAGCTGGGATTACAGGTGTGTGCCACCACGCCTGGCTAATTTTTGTATTTTTAGTAGAGACAGGGTTTCACCATGTTGCCCAGGCTGGTCTTAAACTCCTGACCTCAAGTGATCCAGCTGCCTCGGCCTCCCAAATTACTAGGATTACAGGTGTGAGCCACCATGCGCAGCCACACTTTTCTTTAATTTAACTGCTTAAGTTAAAAAACTTGAAGTCTCTTTAAGTTACTAAAGTAAAATGTGACATAAAAATATTACTTTTGAAGGCTGGGCATGGTGGCTCACGTCTGTAATCCTGGCACTTTGAGAGGCCGAGGCAGTTGGATCATGAGGTCAGGAATTTGAGACCAACCTGGCCAACATGGTGAAACCCCGTCTCTACTAAAAATACAAAAATTAGCCGGGCATGGTGGCGGACGCCTGTAGCGCCAGCTACTTGGGAGGCTGAGGCAGGAGAATAACTTGAAACCCAAAGGTGGAGGTTGCAGTGAGCTGAGATCACGCCACTGTACTCCAGCCTGGGCAGCAAGAGCTTCACTCTGTCTGAAAAAAAAAAGAAAAAAAAAATTACTTAGATATTCGTTATCTAAATATGAAATCTTTTTTAGGTATTTAAGGAGTAGTCAAGGAGAGTTCAGTCTGGGAGGATGCTCCAGGGAATGCAGGCAACAAAGTGTGTGTTTGTTTTTAACTGGTTAGATCTACTAGAACAGGGTAAGGGAGGCCACGGGGTAGACACCATGAGCAAAGCTAACCCCCCTGAGTTGGAAAAAATTATAGACAAGAAGTGATCTTGAAAATAACTGTTGGCCGACATATCCAAGGAATATCACAAGGATTTGGTCCCTTTATGCATCCTGAGATAGATGAATGTGTGGAGATGGCAGCTGGTAGGCAACAGAGTGATACTGGCATGGTGGTGATACAGGGAAATCGTTTGATCGTGTTAGAAGCCATGGAACAAAGATATATCATGGCTGCTCTGCAGAAAAATCCGTGTCCCCTCTCCAAAGGGCCTGTTTTACTCTGATGTAAAAATTGCGTCAGATACATTTTCATAGTAAGCTTTTTGTTAAGTAAGCTTTTGTAATAGTCCCCCAAACCCCCACTAGAACAGGGTATTAACGTTTTATTCATACCTAGGACATAAATAATTTAGTGTAAGCAAGTGAGTATGAGAACACATCTGTTTCCAGTCTTCTATCATTGATTTATATAAATTACCTGGTTTTCTCCTCACAGTAACTCAGTGAGGAAGATCCTAGTGTCCTCATTTGGCAGTTATGGATATGACAGCTTGAAAGGGGTTAGATTGATTCCCAAGATGACACACTGTAAGTGGCAGAGTCAGGAGACACACTTAGGCTTTTCTGGCCTCTAAGACTTTCTTGCTCACTGTGCTATACTCCTTAATCACTACCTGGGTTTTAAATAAAATAAGTAAGCTTGCTGATTAACATCAGCTTAATTGTAGCTCTTCTGGAATCCATATCTTAGTTGTTTGACAGTTTTTGGTTGAGTATGTTCTGTGTGCTAGGAACTCAGGCACTGAAAATAGTGTATCTTTGCCAAATTTACTAATTAGGTAGTGAGATAATACATGAACACATAATAGAGGTCCAGAGAATTCATAATTCATCTGATCTTTGGGCTGCTTAATGTTAACTTTGAATGCAAGATGTTAAATGCAGTTTAGGGATAGATAGCACAAACTGTGAGAGCTCAAGGGAGGGAAGCCACTAGTCGCTTTGGTTTGCTTTTTTTTTTTTTTTTTGAGACGGAGTCTGGCTCTGTCGTCCAGGCGGGAGTGCAGTGGCCAGATCTCAGCTCACTGCAAGCTCCGCCTCCTGGGTTTACGCCATTCTCCTGCCTCAGCCTCCCGAGTAGCTGGGATTACAGGCGCCCGCCACCTCACCTGGCTAGTTTTTTGTATTTTTTAGTAGAGACGGGGTTTCACCATGTTAGCCAGGATGGTCTCGATCTCCTGACCCAGTGATTCGCCCGTCTCATCCTCCCAAAGTGCTGGGATTACAGGCTTGAGCCACCACGCCCGGCCGCTTTTTTGTTTTTTAAAAATAATCTTACTTTGTTCTAAAAATGAAAGTAGTTATAGGGGGAAAGCTAAAATGAAGTGACATTTTCTTAAATATGTTTTAATATGTCATCACTTAAAACTTACTTCCACTTAATCTGAAGGAGAACTATCCAGCAAATTCCTCTGTTTTTGTGAAGATGTTTTTAGTGCCAGCGTAAGGGCTTTTTATTCAACTTGTAAAGTGTAACCCAAAGGCAGTTAAAAACGGTCTTCAGAGGCAGAGCTCAGGTCTGTTATTTATCAGTGCACTCTATGTGTCGCCTTCCCCGTCTGTAAAATGGGGATGAGAATGGCACCTGCCTCTGAGAGTTGTTTGGAGGATGAGTGTCCAGTGCCATGCCTTCCTTGCATAGGAAGTGTTCGGAAACGTCAGATGTCTTACGGAGAATTAACACTTATTGCTGAGACAATCTCCTTTTTATAAAAACATAGGAGCCTTTACATAACAATTGTCTTTGAAAATTTAAGAATTTAGCAGAAATATAGTCAGTGCATTTGTTAATATCTTTATGTTGCTTTGCTTTTAAAATGTTAACTTCCCTGAGTACTGATCTGTTTTTAACAGACTGCTTTCTCTCAGGATTTTTCAGTATTTGCTGTTGTTTAGAAAGGAAGCTTGTATCTCTTAAGTAATATGTAACTGCTCTTTAAATTACAAGTATTTGTATTAAAGGGGATGCAGCTGAGGTTTAGTGTACATCTTTAAAGGTCATCTTTTTTTTTTTTTATACTTTAAGTTCTAGGGTACATGTGCACAACGTGCAGATTTGTTACATATGTATACATGTGCCATGTTGGTGTGCTGCACCCATCAACTCATCAGCATCTTTTTAGATGGCATTGCTTTCACGTATTCAGACTAAAGTGCAAATTTAGAACTTGTATAACCTATGAAAACAAAATTTGTTCACAGTGCCTTTTTTTTTTTTTTTTTAAAGGATTAAAAAAAGTTAAGTTGTACGTATTCCTGATTTTATGTTTGAAAACACCCCTTTTCATTTTTGGTTGTCTGTAATGACTAGCCAGTTTGAGTTACTTGAGTAAGGGGTGAGCTCTAATAAATTTGACAACCTTAGAACAGTGGTTCTTAACTAAGGGCTATTTTGTCCCCCTCAGCACATTTGGCAACGTCTGGAGACAACTGGATGCTGTTACTGGCATCTGGTGAGTAGAGGCCAGGGATGATGCTTAACCTCCTGCAGTGCACAGGACAGTGCTTCACAGCAAAGACACTCTGGTGAAAAATGTCAGTGGTGGTGTTGAGGAACCCTGTCTTTTTTTCTTGCTTCATCTCATAGTTGAAAGCTATGGGAAATTAACATGGAGCATCTTCACAGAGCTTCTTTACTAGGGGTAGTAGGGAGGAACATTGCCATATTAACATGATTTGGGGAATTAAGAAAGTATGAATCACGAAAAACGGGTGGAATACTTTTAGACATTGGTTTAAATTAATGTAAATGCATTTAACATTAATGAATTTATTATGTCATTTTTTTATAGGCATATGAAGAGTCTGGTCACCTTTACAAATGTCATCCCTGAGTGGCACCCACTTAATGCTGCCCATTTTGGTCCATGTAACAATTGCAACAGTAAATCACAAATAAGAAAAATGGTATTGGAAAAGTGAGTTAAAATTGTCTTATAATTTTTAGTACAAAATGAAGGTGGATTTACATTTTTCTTTTTGTAGGATTGAAAATGGTGACAACAGTCTACCTTTGTGAAATCTGAGTTAACATATGCTTCTGGGCTGCCAACTGCCTCGCCCTGTCTGGCCAGTGAGCCCACTGTCACAGGTGAAGCCACCGAAGAGCCACCGTAGGCTGACTCTCTGGCCCCACTCTCCTAGTGTCTTTCCTTCTTTTTGCCTTTTTTCTCCCTTTAAGGATATCAAGCTTCAGTTTTTCTCTCCTCTGCCAAGTGTATGGAGTTTCTAGAATTCTGGGTTTTCTTTAATCAGATTTCAAGAACTAAGATGATTCAAAGATGAGCCACAGGCTCATCTTTCTGAATTTCCATCTTCTCCTAGATCTCAGCACGCTAATTCCTCATCATCTTGTAAGCTATCTGGTGGCCTTGGGCAGATATGTTTTCATTATATTTTGCCAGCTTTGCTGTTTGTCCTCAGTTGGGGAGGTTGGTCAGCATTACCTTTTCCAGTGTTACCAGAGCACCATCTCTCTTTAAACTCACAGGTCAGTTCCATCTCAGGCAGTTTGCTTCTCTCTCATTAATGCACTCACACATGTACACAACCTCTTTACTCTTCATTTTCAGTCTAATTGTACATTAAGGAAATGTTTTGAGCTCTAATTTGATGTAATAAAGAACCAGGAACATTAACCTTTATGCCCTTGAATGTGCCAGAAACCCCTCAGAATCTTTCCTAAAGGTTTATTCTCATTGAAGTAATAAATTCTCAGTTCATTAGTGCTCACAGGCTCAGAAGGTAAAAAGGGCGGTAGTCCCCTGTCCCCTCCCCCAGGTATCTACTTTAAACCTTCAAATTAAGGTAGTAGTTACTTTGACATTTCAAATTGATGTGCCTATTCTACCATAATGCAGTCTGTTCTCCTTTTATAGTAGTTGAGACTAGGGTTCTCACACCAATACCTGGGCCCCATCTCTGTTTAGCCTTTTGCTGTCCTTCCAATGCAACTGTGTATGTGGCTAAGTCAGTACTCGGTGTTTGCATTGTTATTAATATACGTATGTTATTCCCTCTTCAGCCAAGCAGTAGACATAGTTAGGTTTCACTTTTACAATTCTTTGTTTTTCTGGGAATTATTTGCCTTATTTTCGTTTGTTTTATTATGTACTGAGTTTTTGCCAAGTACTTTAAAGACTTATTAATAAATTTCCAATACTCAGATGCTTCACAGTTTTTTACCCCTGTTCCCCTCCCCTTTTTTTCCTGGAAATTCTTTCCTGTCACCTTTCACTCTTTGCTGCAGTCTGTGCTGGTTCCTCTCTGGGCCTGGGGATAGGGTGCTCTTTATTATGTACATACTTCCAGTCACTATCCTAGTTTTTAGCGCAAGGCCTCATCCCCACATTCTACCACATCTGTTGCCCATAAATATCCAGCCTTTTAGGGGTTCTCTGGGAAAAATAAGCTCTTCTTTGTCATCAGCATACGCACTCCGCAGTACTCGTGTCTTCACTTTGTGCATTCCGCTGGGTAAGGTGCCACTTCTCTGTTTGCTTTCTGTCCTCTAAATATTTATTGACTTCTTATTTGCTTATTTTCCTTTCTTTGCCCTTTTCGACTTATGTCTTTTTTGCCCCTCACTATTATTTGATAGCATTTGTGTAGGAGGGCAAAGTGGGAAGGAAGAGGAGGTGTCTGTATGTGTCTGAAGATTACAGAAGTCTGTAATCTGCCTTGGCTGCCAGGTGTCAGTTTTGAGATGTAAATATTGATGATGAGGTGAGGGGAAGAGCAGCAGAGCATGGGGTCTGCCATCCTGCCCTGGACCATGGGCCTGCTTTAGGCTGCTTGGTGTATATGATTTCATCTAGCTGTTCATACCTGCTTTTTCCCATGCCCCAGCACTGAACATAGACTCGTACCATTGTTTTGTTTAATCTGTTAATTGGTTGCCTTGCAGCATATGTATTTTTTAACTATCCAAAAAGTTGCTTTCCTTAAAGATTCACATTCTGATCTGGAAATGGATTCATTAGGTGAAACAGTTTTTTAATCGAAAATGTGTTTTGAGTTCCAGTGGGCCAATTTATGGGTAGAATTTATAATGTGGACATTTTCTGTTTTCTTCAAAAGTAAATTGAACTAGTATATGAAGTTTAACTTAAATTTTAAATAACAAGGTCTTTATATAAGTCCTTTGTGTTTTTTTTTATTTTGAAATTTGTATAACTTGATTTGTTTGTATCTAATCGAATTTAGAAACAAATTTAATACAGTTTTTAGGGATAACCTAAAAGTGATTGGGTTTGTCATGGTATCATATGTAATTAAAACATACAGGATTCTAAAAACTAATTAAGTTCCTTGGACACTTTATCTCAGATAAGCCACTTCTCTAATGTCTCCCCACTGGGAAAAGAGTCCATTGATAGATAAATCAGGTGAATTATGCCTAGTGTGCCCAAATCTGCTACTTTTCTTTAAGTAAGTTGTTTAGGAGTTACATTCAGACCATGGTGACATGGAGCACCGAGAACGTAGAATCAGATTTCAGTTTACTTGACAAAGTCTTCAAAGATTACTGCCACAATCTCTCTGAGTGCAAGGCCATGGCTGCGCTTTGTGGGGCAGGGTGCAGTGTTTCTCTGCTCTCTTTGGGTAGCAGAGGTTAACACAGCTCTCTTGTGCTTGCTTTCTCTCTTTTCTATTTTCTTTTCTTTTCCTGAGGGTAGATCTTTAAATAGGAGGAGTTTAACCACATGTTGTTAGGTAAATGCAAATTGATCTTAGCCTGAAGTCTCTGGTTCACTCTTGGTTCCAGTTTGGTTAATTCCTTTCATTCAATTCTCCAGTGGTTGAGGGAGAACCTAACTTGCTCTCCTCAACTCTGAGCATCATTCTTCATTGACACTTCAGGCATTATGGATAGGAAGAAGTCTGAGAACAAAACCTAGGGATAAAGTTTAGTAGAGATGGGGTTTCACCATGTTGGCCAAGTTGGTCTCGAACTCCTGACCTCAGGTAATCCACCCGCCGTGGCTTCCCACAGTGAGGCTGGAAATAAGACATGCTGGAATTGTAGGTAGGACACTAGAGTCTAGGGGAATCAAAGAGGAATATGAACAGAAAAAGGAAGGGGAAGGATATCATTTGATTGACTCCAAGATACTACTGTTTGTAAGTTGCACCTTTTAAAAAATATGCCATTAAGAAAGGCTGGCTGGACACGGTGCCTCACGCCTGTAGTCCCAGCACTTTGGGAGGCCGAGGCAGGCGGATCACCTGAGACTAGGAATTTGAGACCATCCTGGCCAACGTAGTGAAACCCCATCTCTACTAAAAATACAAAAATCAGCTGAGTATGGTGGCACATGCCTATAGTCCCAGCTATTCAGGAGGCTGAGACATGAGTATTGCTTGAACTGGGAGGCAGAGGTTGCAGTGAACAGAGATTACGCTACTTACTGCACTCCAGCCTGGGCAACAGAGTGAGACTGTCTCAAAAAAAAAAAAAAAGACAGAAATGCTGCCTATTTAATTGTGTTCCATCAATGATAAGGTGTATCCCAACTTCAGAGATGTTAACATACAGGAAAAAATTTGGAATTCATCCGGCATTTGGAACTTGCAAAGTTTTGGCCGGGCATGGTGGCTTACGCCTGTAATCACTTTGGGAGGCTGAGGCAGGTGGATTACCTGAGGTCAGGAGTTAGAGACCAACCTGGCCAACATGGTGAAACCCCATCTCTACTAAAAATACAAACATTAGCCAGACGTGGTGGCATGCGCCTATAGTCCCAGCTACTCAGGAGGCTGAGGCAGGAGAATCGTTTGAACCCAGGGAGCGGAGGTTGCAGTGAGCTGAGATTGTGCCACTGCACTCAAACTTGGGCAACAGAGTGAGACTCCATGTCAAAAACAAACAAACAAACAAACAGAAAAACAAAGTTTCATAGTTACGTAAAGTAGTATGGAGGCCACGCCAAGATTTTCGACACGGTAGTAAAACTCTACATTATGGCTCTATTCTGCATCATCTCTGTTCTGCAGCATGTCACCCCACGTCAGGCCCTGGATAGCTTTGGTGTACTGGGCCATCTTGTGGCAGTAAGGCTAGTGTAATTAAGAGGATATTTTAAAACCTAACATATAATTGCTCCAGTTGTTGTCTCTTTTTGCTGGTTAAGAAAATCAAATTTCTATCCTATCTGAACCTCATAGAAGACTTTGGAGGTTTCTGACAAGTCATTTCTTACTACCTAGGGGAATGTACTTGTACTCAGCTAGAGTCTGAGTATCTTCAACATCCAGGGAATTGGGCTGAGTATGGATTTTGGTCTTGGCAGTTTTTTCTTTTATTAATTTGCAAAAGAATAAAAGACTTGGAATGTACAAGAAGCATAAAAATGTGTCATGTTTTTACATGCATTAGTTATCATGTCAATATGTCTTAAAATATTTTCCACATGTAAACTTATTTAAAGGCAGGAAACTAGTGAGATGTCGTAGTCTAGGGATCAAGAGATTGTTTTAGTAACTAGCCTCAGAAAGTATCTTGAAAGGTATTATATAAGGTCAGGGAACTAAATATTAGTTAAGAGTCAGGCCAGCCATGGTGGCTTATGCCTGTAATCCCAGCATTTTGGGAGGCCAAGGCAGGCAGATCACTTGAAGTCAGGAGTTCGAGACCAGCCTGGCCAACATGGTGAAACCCTGTCTCTACTAAAAATAGTAGTGTGTGGTGTGGTGGCACATGCCTGTAATCCAGCTACTCAGGAGGCTGTGGTGGGAGAATCACCTGAGCCCAGAAGGCGGAGATTACAGTGAGCTGAGATCACGCCACTGCACTCCAACCTGGGTGAGAGAGCTAGTGTCCATCTCAAATAATAATCATCATCATCAGATAGGTGCCTAAAGCCTGCATATCCCGCTATGAGAATACATCTCAAGTTTTACTGTGGTTCATTGATTCCAACATGCAGTTCACATTTTAACCTGTCTGAAAAGGTAATACGTGAAATTGATACCATGATATAGTTTAAGTGGCAGCATGTTTTCATAGTGGTATATTTGATAATTAGTGAAATCTTAGATTTGATGAAATATGATTTTTTAAAGTGGGAAAGTTTAGTGTTATAGACAATTTGCAGGACTTTTTATTTTATAGGTACTTAAATTTTGAGGACTTGATTACTCTCTAACAAAATGATTGACAAGGATTAATTTATAAATTATCCCTTGTCAGTCTGAATAATCTGCAGTTTGGACATTGATTCAAGTTTATTTGGGCTGAATAAATTTTGATAAACTAAGTAAGTTTTGACAGCTGTTTAACTATTGGGAATAGGGCTATTCAACATTTTTCTTACATCCTAAGAGCTTTGTTAAATTGAGTTATTTGAGACCCACTGGGTTCTATTTTCTGGTTCAGCATGTTGCTGTAATGGTAAAATATAATTTTGAAATTACAGTTGTCTTGAAGTTAATAATAAATTGACCAATATGTTGTATTTTTTTCTCTACTTAGTTACAAATTGAACTTTTCCTAAGTAGAACTTTTAATTTGACAGACCCCCTTTGCTTCCTGAGATAACTGAAATAGGCCAAATTAATGCTTATTTGAGTATGTTAGGTTTGTTGCTTTCTTTCACTTATTACCTACACCGCTTAACAAAAGCAATTAATCTGAGCACTTGATGCCAAAGAAAATTCTAAAAGGTCTGGATTTTTTCCTTGGATTTTACAAAGTAGCTACCATGAGATCTTTAAGCCAAAGCCGCATTGCTGCTTACAGAGCAATTTTTGTTTAATGGTCTTTATTAGAGTCGTACTGCATGATGACTTCCAACTGTCTGGGATACCATTCTGAAAAGGGTTTAGTGTTACATACTTCTTAGAGAGAGTTCTCCATTTCTAATTAAGGCACACATCTGGAGGTCCTCAAGAAAAATTAGTGCAGTTCGCCTTGGAAGTGTTATGTGTGACTAGTTCACTTCAGACATCTTTTGTATAACCAGACACATGGCATTAAATTTGTTTAACTTCTCTTGCTTTTCTCTCCCACAGAGTATCTCCCATATTCATGTTGCACTTTGTAGAAGGCTTACCACAGAATGACTTGCAGCGCTACACATTTCATTTTGAAGGCTGTCCTTATCAAATAACTTCTGTAATTCAGTATCGAGCAAATAATCATTTTATAACATGGATTTTAGATGCTGATGGTAAGTGTTTAGAGGTTTTCTTTTAAGATAATTGGCATGGAAACTAAATTCTAGCATGTGGGGACTTTTTGGTTTTTGTTTTTTAAAAAAAGACAAACTTTGCTGTGACTCTTTCTCTCTCCATTCTAGCCTTTGCCTTCTGCCCCTCCTCACACCTATTAAAAGTGGTGGTTTTAGTATCCTTTCTCATTTTTTCCTTTCCTTACATCATGTGTTAAACGGTAAACACATGTGCATGTGCATATTTCTTTTTTAGACAAAGGATGAGATTACTAATGTTTGCTTAGTTTGTTTTCCTACTTAACATCTTTGCTTTTATTTTTTAGACATATATTTCTAAGACTATTAAACATGAGACTTATGTAGCCCTTCTGTCATTGTGGAATACAGTTTACTAACAGCTACCTTCAAGATAAAGCCTTTATTTAAGTAATTAAACCTCTTAGTAGAAAGCTAAGTAAGCACAGTTCATGGATTTTGGGAATTTTCGCCTTGCATTTGTCCGATGTGGTAAAATATTGAGTTTGTTTTCTCATAACGTTCACTTTATCTTAGACAAGATAATTCAGTCCCCTTAAAGGGTTGTATCAAGCCATTGATAAGGGCTCACTTTGATATGACCATTTTCTGTTATTTGGACACTCTTTCATACTTGCTCTTTTCCTCCTGGGGATGGTTTGAATGGATGACACAATACTGTATTATAAAAGCACTTTACAAACTGTGACTTATATTTTAAATGTAATTATTACCTTAAGGTTTTACCCTGTTTCAGATTGGAGTGGAAGTAGTTCTTCACAATACAAACCAACTTATTTTAACTTTTTTTGCATTTCAAAGAATGATCAATCCACTTCAGGTACAGCATGGTTTCCAACCCTGACGGCATGGAAGAATCATTTAGTTAGCTTCTAAAAATGTCCAGGCTGTACCCTGGAGACCAGCCTTGGGGATTAGGCCCAAATATCAATATTGGGTGTTTTTGGCATTTGTTTTTGGCCGACCGGTCCTTCCTTCCTTCCTCCCTTCCTCCCTTCCTCCCTCCCTCCCTCCCTCCCTCCCTCCCTCCCTCTGTCTCATTCTCTCTCTCTCCTTCTTTGCTCCTTTCCTTCTCTCCTAATTTTCTTTTTATTTTATATGTTATGTTATGTTATGTTATGTTATGTTATGTTATGTTATGTTATTTGAGACAAGGTCTCACTATATTTCCTAGGCTGTTCTCAAACTCCTGGGCTCAAGTGATCCTCCTACCTCAGCCTCCTGAGTAGCTAGGACTACAGGCACATGCTATGGCAATACTGTTTTAAACATTGTTTTCAAGGCTCCCCAGGTAATTCCAGTGTGGGTCATGTGGTAGAGAACCACTGACACAGGCAAATAAAAGATACATAAAGTTTTCTATTTAATGAGTAGGTGCAGGTAGTAGATAAGAGTGTAGCCACATAAACCATGTGCTTAATGAACAGTTTTGTTTTGTGTATATGTGAGAGATTAGCAGATCTCTGAGTATATTTTGTTTTCCCTTTTGAAACTTATCACAGAATTCATTTGTCTGTTACGCGACTAATGCTCTTGGTTTACTTTTTTTTTAATGTTATGGTTTTTTTTGAGATGGAGTTTTGCTCTTGTTGCCCAGGCTGGAGTGCATTGGCGCAATCTTGACTCACCGTCACCTCTGCATCCTGGGTTCAAGTGGTTTTCCTGCCTCAGCCTCCTGAGTAGCTGGAATACAGGCATGCACCACCATGGCCGGTTAATTTTGTATTTTTAGTAGAGATGGGGCTTCTCCATGTTGGTCAGGTTGGTCTCGAACTCCTGACCTCAGGTGACCCACCTGCCTCGGCCTCCCAAAGTGCTGGGATTAGAGGCATGAGCCAGCGCACCCAACCATATCTTATATTTTAATAAATATTTTAATTTGGTCTGTAAATTTGTCTCTTTGGTGAATGTGTTTTAAGTCTGTGTTGAGTCCTAGACCTTTGTTGTTCTCAGATAGTCACTAGTGATACCTTAACATTAACCAGCCTGTTGGCAACTAAATTGGCCTGAATTGACAACTAAGGAAAGGTCTCTTTCTCCTTTCTTAATCTTCGCATTCCTTAAGATTAGTTCTTTGTAGGAAGCCTTGAAGCCTGGTGGCAAGTACGCTTTTTCCCTCACAATCTTAAGTTCTTTCTCAGCATTAAAAAATGACTATGGGAGATATGTCAAACGAGTTTTCTATGTGTGCTCTGAGAAATCTTTTTCCAGAAAAAGGATAGACGCACATGTGTAAGGAAAAGAGAAACTGAGTGTACTTTCAGTATTTAAGATTAAGTGTTTCTAAACATGTTTTGCAACATAAAATGATGACCACTGTGTTGGTCATTACTTTTCTACTGCTAAAATAATGTTTTCTAAAAGAATATAGTCCTTAGAAAAAATACAGTACTTTGGGTGCACACTATTGTAATCCAAGGAATAGGAAATGTTTTGTAGTAAGTACGATGGTGTTTGATATCATAATTTATTAATTTATCACATTTGGTTTCATAGAAATAGAGTAAGCTGCGTATTTGCTGCGCCACGATTGCCATGACATCACACTTCTTCTATCTATTTCTGTTTCATAGAAGTGTAGATATTGATATATACAGTGGAAGTGTGGATTGTTTTGATAAGTTTCTAATGAAAGTACAGATATTTGTTGATTATTTATTAAAAGTTGTTACTCATGCAAGCCTGTGGTTAGCTTTTCCCAAATTATCATGTGGTAGTAAGTAAACTGTAAAGAAATATACCCTCCCTTAACCCCACACCACCTGTTAGCACCTAGTCACCTTCCTTTACTTCTCAGCGGTACTTTTTGTATTTTTTTGTTGTAGTGGTAAAATATATGTAACATAAAATTTACCATTTTAATATTTGTAAGTGTACAATTCATTGGCGTTGAATACATTGTGTGCGACCACAATGCTGTGCGACCACCATCACCATCAGGACTTTTTCATCAACCCAAACAGAAACTACTCATTAAACAATAACTCTGCATCCTCCCACCCCAAAACCCTGGTAACCACTATTCTACTTTCTGTCTCTGTGAATGTGTCTGTTCTAGGTACCTCATACAAGTGGAATCATACATTATTTGTCCTTTTGTGCCTGGCTTATTTTACTCAGCATATTTTCAAGATTCATTTGTATTGTGGCATGGAACAGAATGTCATTCCTTTCTAAGGCTGAATAGTATTTTATGGATCATCCATTTATCTGTTATGGACATTTGACTATTGTGAATAATGCTCTGAACATTGCTGGACAAGGAACTGAAAGTCCCTGCTTTTCGTTCTTTTTGGTATCTACCTACAAGAGGAATTGCAGGGTCTTAATGGTAATTCTGTGTTTAACTTTTGCCAGACTGTTTCCACAGCAGTTGTACCATTTTACATCCCCACCAGCATTACACAAGGATTCCAATTTCTTCACATCCTTGGCAACATTTGCTATTTTCTGTTTTTTTGTTTGTTTTTGTTTTTAAAGGAATGGTTTAAGCAGGTTCCCTTCTTACTCCTCATTCATGCTTTAGTTGACTACATAAGGACCCCTGTCCCTACTGCACCACTGAAATTGTGCAGGCAAAATAACTGCCAGCAACCACACTGCTATAAGTAATGGACTTTTCCCAAGTGTTGTATTAATATTTCAGTATTTAGCAGTGCATCCTACTCCTAGTTTTTAAACTCTTCCCTTGTCATCCATCATCTCATTCTCTCTTGACAAATGTGAAAATGGAAGCTCCAAAATAAGAATTAAAACGAATATTGATCCTTCAGGTAACAAGCTTCATTAATCATGAAAATTTATATGTATGAAACATTGTTTTCTGATGTTATTGGATAAATTAGGTGATAACCAAATTCTAAGTTCCAGAAGTTAAATATACTCCATCTAAGGACTTTTAACATGGCAGACGATGGTGACAAGGTCAAGACCATGTTTTAGAGTCTTCTCCTTTGGTGGGTATTCAATGATACAGCAGCTGAAAAGGCCAGAAGAAAGTTAACCTAGGATGGTGGTTTTTGGATATCTAACTTACACTTTTTTCCCATCCTCCAGGAAGTTGGCTGGAATGTGATGACTTAAAAGGCCCATGTTCTGAAAGGCACAAGAAATTTGAAGTTCCTGCTTCAGAGATACATATTGTTATCTGGGAAAGAAAAACATCCCAAGTGACAGATAAAGAAGCTGCCTGCCTTCCACTTAAAAAGACTAATGACCAACACGCTCTCGGTAATGAGAAACCGGTATCTTCAACATCGTGTTCTGTGGGTGATGCTGCCTCAGCTGAAACAGCCTCAGTAACTCACCCTAAAGATACATCAGTTGCCCCTCATACTTTTTCACAGGACACAGCTGTAATTCATGGAGATCATTTACTTTCAGGTCCAAAAGGTTTGGTTGACAATAATATTTTACCTGTGACACTTGAAGAAACTATCCAGAAAACAACCTCAGTTTCACAGTTAAATTCTGAAGCTTTCCTGTTAGAAAGTAAACCTGTAGCAGAAAATACAGGAATTCTCGAAACAAATACTTTGCAATCACAAGAATCACTAATGGCTTCTTCAGTATCAGCTCCATGTCGTGAAAAGCTTATCCCAGACCAATTTGTGGACATAAGTTTTCCATCCCAAGTTGTAAATACAAACATGCAGTCAGTACAGCTGAATACAAAAGATACTGTAAATACTAAATCTGTGAATAATACTGATGCTACTGGTCTTTTACAGGGAGTGAAGTCAGTAGAAATTGAGAAGGACGCTCAGTTACAACAGTTCCTTACACCAAAAACTGAACAATTAAAACCAGAACATGTCACATCTCAGGTATCTAATTGGAAGAAAAAAGAAACTACAGCAGATTCTCAAACCACAACATCTAAGTCATTACAGAATCAGTCTCTGAAAGAAAATCAGAAGAAGCCATTTGTGGGAAGTTGGGTTAAAGGCTTAATAAGCAGGGGTGCTTCTTTTATGCCACTCTGTGTTTCAGCTCAGAATAGAAACACTATAACTGATTTACAACCTTCAGTTAAAGGGGTAAATAATTTTGGTGGCTTTAAAACTAAAGGGATAAACCAGAAGGCCCGCCACGTATCCAAGAAAGCGCGTGGGAGTGCAAGTAAGCCTCCTCCCATCAGTAAGCCACTACCAGGCCCTCCATCGTCTAATGGCACAACTGCCCACCCACATGCTCATGCTGCTTCAGAAGTTTTGGAAAAGTCTGGAAGCACCTCATGTGGAGCTCAACTCAACCACAGTTCTCATGGAAATGATCTTTCTCCAGCAAACCATGAAGACTTGGTGGAAGGTCAGATTCATAAACTCCGTCTAAAACTTCGTAAAAAGCTAAAGGCAGAAAAGAAGAAATTAGCTGCTCTTATGTCTTCCCCGCAAAGCAAAACAGTTCCAAGTGAAAATCTAGAACAGGTGCCCCAGGGTGGGTCTCCAAATGATTGTGAATCAATAGAGGACTTGTTAAATGAGCTACCATATCCAGTTGATACTGCCAGTGAGTCTGCATGCACCACTGTTGCTGGTGTTTCCCTGTATGGTAGTCAAACTCATGAAGAAATTTTAGCGGAATTATTGTCTCCTACAACTGTTTCAACAGAGCTGTCAGAAAATGGGGAAGGTGACTTTAGGTATTTGGGAATGGGAGATGGTCATATCCCACCACCAGTACCAAGTGAATTAAATGATGTTTCCCAGAACGCACATCTGAGACAGGACCATAATTATTGTAGCCCCACCAAGAAAAATCCATGTGAAGTTCAGCCAGACTCTCTGACAAATAATGCCTGCGTTAGAACATTAAACTTGGAGAGTCCCATGAAGACTGATATTTTCGATGAGTTTTTTTCCTCCTCAGCATTAAGTGCTTTAGCAAATGACACATTAGACCTACCTCATTTTGATGAATATCTGTTTGAGAATTATTGAATTCATGCTTGTTAACTTTTTTTCATATAATATTTATTCTTAGAAGAACTTACTATGTGTTCAGGTAGTGTTTATACACTGGACTTGTGTAATTACTTGTGTAATAATGATGAACAAAATGCAAGGTTTGACCTTTGGTTCTGCCCATGAAGCATGTAATCTGTCTTACAAATTAAAATCATTTAATGTGTTCTCCTTTTTGGTTTTATTTTGTTCTTGTTGAGAGTATGAGAATTTCAAAATGTTAAAGGTGAAAAGTGGCATCAGTTTCTGACAGTTTGTACAGTTGGATGCATTAAAGTTTTAGATTTGAAGTCTTGGTTATGTTAATGTTATGAGTGATCTTTGGGGTGGTTTTTCTTCCTCTGGAAACCTGTTGCTTTGCCCGTGGTGCCCGAGTTCTTGTCCTGTGTCCACGTATGCAGACGAAGGGTGAAGTAGATGAAGAGGAGCTTTATCTAGCGTTAGAACAGCTCAGAAGGAGACCCACAGTGGGTAGCTCCCCTCTGTAGGCGGGCAAGTCATCCCTCAAGTGTTCAGCTCTTACCAGAGAAAAGGCCTGGAGAGAGTAACTCTTCTCAGCTCTCAGCAGAGAAAAAGCCCTGGAGAAGGTAGCTTATGTTCACAGGCAGGTTGTCCAGAGGTCTGCTGCTCTCAGGAGAGAGGAGGCCCTGGAAAGGATAGCTTCTCTCCATAGGCAGGTTGTTCTGCTGTCTCTGCAAGTCTCTGAAGCGCTTAGCAGAGAGGGTGTCTGCTCCCTGTTGCTGGGCATCCCACCCTCTGCTCAGCTGTGGCTGAGCCCAGGGCTTTTTACGGGCCTCTGTGGGGAGGAAGTACATACTGACTGGCCCATGGGTGGCCACAGGTGAGTCTAGAAAAGGCACCAGTTCCCACTCCTATAGGTGGGACTGGCAGCCTGGCCCCCAGCCCTCAGACCCTCCCTGTTCGTGGCTTCTAGGTTTCCCCCACTGCTTTGATCCAAGAGCCGCTGCCAACAGCAGGGAGAAGCCAAGCAGCGGGGACAACGCGCTTCCTAACCTGCAAAAGCAGGCCCCCAAAAGTGCAGGGATGCCTGAGTGCAGCCGCACCCAGGAGGGCAGGGATCCTGCCTGCTCCAGGGAACAGGCGGCCCCAGCCATGCCTGGCTGCTGCAGCTGGAATGATAGCAGGCTGGCTGGAGCACCTGCGACCATTATTAGTTCAAGAGTTCATGCAAATTTAAGTTGTATACGGTATACGAATGTATGACAGTTTTTCTTATGGTTGTGTGGCCTTCTATAAGAGTCTACACCTGTTTGTTACACCAGTAGAGTGCTGTGGAATGTAAACTTTCCCTATATCACTTATCTCCTTTATCTCTTCATACAGAGGAGGGCAGGAAACCTTATTACTTGAACTTTAGTAATGTTAAGTGATCAATCTATAAATAAATCGATAACAGAAAAAAGTTACCTATTTTTGTGATGATGTACAAAAAGTTTACATGTTATCACAAATACCATCTTTCTTCCCAAGACATTTACTTCTGTAACCAAAGTGGGACACCATCTAACAGTTCTATTTTGGGAGAGAATAACCACCAGTGCTCATAAGGCTTGTTATATGTTGGTTGTTAGATAGATGTTATTTCGTTTAGACCTCAACATTCCTGTGAGTGACATACTTTTATCACATCTTACAGATAAGGAGACCGTACTTACTCAGTTGTGGAGCTGAGATTGAGTAGAGTGGCTACCATAGCATTTGAGTGCTGAGCTTACCAATATATTTTCCACTCCTCAGCCTTCATTTAAAGTAGGATGCCCAAACAGCATCACTGCCCTAGAGATTGGAGTTAACAGCAGTACTTACTGAGGTTTAAGGCTGGCAGCCAGTGTCCTTGTGGTAAAATTATTTGCTAGGGACTCAGTACTTCATAATTTATTTGTCAAATTTACTTCTAAGCTTCCGTGTTGTTTTATTTATTTATTTATTTATTCTGACGAAAGTAGTGCATATTGTCAAGGAAAAACTAGGAAAATACAAAAAAAAAAAAAAAAAAAAAAAAAAGATTTTTGACCATGCATTTCAATACTTGTGAGAGCGACTACAAACATTTTCCTATTTTATGCATATAGACTTTAAATAAAAGTGAGATCCTATTGTATCTGTTTTTATGGATAATCATTGTTTCACTAATGTTTTAAAATTCTGAGGTGATTTCTACTGTCTTGCCATTGTTAACTGCAGCAGGTATCCTTGTTGATAAATTTTTGCATGGATCCAAGTTTTGTTTTCCAGGAGTGGAGTTGCTTGGTCAAGGGAAATGCACATTTAAGGTTTTTTGATGATTGCATGACTGACTTCCCTGGGCCCTCGCCAACACTAGGTAGTAGTATTGAGAGGAGGGGGGAACCAACCCTGGCTGCTCCATGATTACCAGTGAGCCTGAACATTTTCTATAACTATTGCCCATTTGAATTTTTTTTTGGGGGGGGGGTGGTGGTAGGGGAGGGTTTAAGAATTGCCCATCCTTTGCTGGTACTAATTATCTTTTCAACAAATATTTCTAGATTACTGCTAAGGACCAAGCACTGTTATAAACCTGAGATAAGGCAGTACACTAGAAGGAAATCCTTGCTCCTTTAGAGTTTGCCTTCCAAAGATGGAGATCAATATATAACGTTAGATGGTAATAGGAGATACATACAGTTGACTTGCGTAGTTTTTAGTAGTTACGGTCAATAAAGTCGCCTTGAACACTGAATTAGCATAAACTGAAATACTGTTCCTGGGAGAAACAGGTTCCTGCTACCCTGTGGTCATGACATTTTTGTCAGTCACTATATAAGCTTTTTTGTTTCTGTTTAAAGACATGTTATTTGATCTATATGGTTGATTCTTTACATTAACATGGCCAACAGCACTGTAACTCAGCCTGAACAAAGCTTATCTAACACATGATGTTCTCCATAAGGCACATCATAGCCTCCTGTGCGTAGTAACACTAAATGGCACTTCAGCACTGCACTTGAGGATGTTTTAAAAACAGTGAAATCAAAAAGCACACACAAAAAAAGCAACAATAACAAAAAGACACTAAATAGCTGCCCCCCCGCCCCCAAATACACTTGTTTACAGTGTGAACTGAAAGAGGAAGGTGGAGTATTGACTTGTTTGACCTCAGCTGCAAATGTGCACGTCATGTGACTCAAATTTTTCTCTGTTCTGTGCATGTGTGTCCACAAATGACCACAAGAAGCACTGAAAGCATTGATTTTTAGGGTTACAAATTAATTTTAGCAAGTAAATGAATTCACAGATACAGAATCTGTGAGTAACGAGGACTGATTCTTATCATGTCAGATGGCACTAAATACTACAGAGGAGTGGATGAGAGGGAGAAGTATTTTAGACTAGGTAGACTTGGAAGGTTTCTTGGAGGTGGATGACGTTTGAGAAGAGGCTTCAATCAAGTTACGGAGTTCACCATGTGATTGCAGGAAGAGCGTTCCAGGAGAGCAAAAGTCATGAAGAGTGAGTGTTAGGCATGTATCTGGTCTGGTTGGGCTGCTATAACAAAATACCTTAGACTGGGTAAAAATGTATAAATAATAGAAGTGTATTGCTTACAGTTCTGGAAGCTGGCAAGTCCAAGATCAAGGTATCAGCACATTCTGGTGAAAGCTGCTCTGCTTCCTGGCTGGTTCCTCTCACTGTGTCCTCACATGGCGTAAGAGGGGCACAGAGCTCTTAATGTCACCGTCTCTCCAGTGGCCCCATCTCTTAGCACTGTTGGATCGGGGATTTAGACTTCACTAATTTTGGGGGAACACAAACATTGAGACCACAGCAGCATGACTGAGGACAAGGAAGAGGCCAGTGTGGTTGAGCAGAGTGATCAGGGAAGGAGAGTTAGGACATGAGTAAAGAGGCTGGCAGACACCAGATCTTATATGGCTTTGTAGGCCATAGTGAGGACTTTGTCTAAGCTGAGAATAATAACCTCAGGAAAGTTTCAGGCAAGAGGGTAACATGGTCTGGTCTGGGTTTTAAAAGGATCACTGAAATGGGGAGACTGCAGATGGTCTGAATAGGAGTCCTAGTCTATTACGATGTCCTGGGAGTTTAGGGCAGTAACTGGAGGTGTTCAAGAGTAGTTGGATCATTGTTGCCTTTCAAAAGTAGAGCCAACACGATGTGTGCATTGGCTGTGAGGTAGAAGAGGAGTCAAAATGAATTCCAGGTTTTATTGACTGAGCAAATGTGCTATTTCCTGAGATGGGTCAGATTTGGGAAGGAGAATTTAAAGGGAATAAGATAATCCCATTTGGAGTGTGTGAAGTGTGAGATTCCTATTTGACTTCCAAGTGGAGATGATTTAATAGGAAGATAGATCTGCAACACTAGAGATCAGCGGAGAGGGACACACTGGAGACAGCCATTTGGGAATTAGGAGTGTGTGGATCATGGTATAGGATGAGGTCATTAGGGACTTAAAACAGCTCTGGAGAACAAAAATAGGGCCTTGATCTTGGACTTCCTGGTTTATAGAACTGTGAGCAACATATATATGTGTGTGTGTGTGTGTGTGTGTGTGTATATATATATAGATATAGTTTTTTTTTTTTATTTTTTATTTTTTTATTTTTTTTGAGACAGAGTCTTGCTCTGTCATCCAGGCTGGAGTGCAATGGCATCATCTGGGCTCACTGCAACCTCCACTTCGTGATTCAAGCAATTCTGGTGCCTAAGCCTCCCAAGTGGTTGGGACTACAGGCGGACGACACCACGCCCGACTAATTTCTGTATTTTTTGTAGAGACGGGGTTTTGCCATGTTTGCCAGGCTGGTCTCAAACTCCTGACCTCAAGTGATCTGCCCACCTTGGCCTCCCAAAGTTCTCGGATTATAGGCGTGAGCCACCATGCCCAGCCTGAATTTCTAATATGTGTAAATTATCCAGTCTGAGACATTTTGTGATAGCAGCCCAAGCAGACCGAGGCAAAGGCCAAGCACACTGGCTCCTCCTGGCTTCTGCTCTTGCGGAATGGTTCTCCTTTAGTCACGTGGTTGCCTGCCTAGCTTCATTCAACAGGAGTGTGGTGCCCTGAAAATACAAGGAAGAATGCTTTGCTTTTCTTTTTTTCAGTGGAAGGGATGATTATCTGTCAGATGCTGCTGAAGAAGAGTAATAGGAGGACTGAGAATTGGCCACTGGCTCTGGCAATGGGGAAGTCCCCGCTAACTCCACATGAACGGTTTCACATGAACAAGTGTGCGTGGGCTCAAGAGAAGGGATGGTGAGAAAGTGGAGCTCTGGACTCACTGTTGAA